GCATCCGTTTCTTTGACACAACGGTATATTTCAAAGGTTCTTCTCAATCAGTTTTTTTTTCGCACAACTATTCCTAAGTATTTGCATATAGAAAATTAGGCTATTAGATATTTAAGATCTCAAGTAAAACTTTTAATTAGAATCACATTTCTGGGCATATATTGTCACAAAAAAATCACGCATATTCCAGAAAAATCATTAAACCCCACAATTCCGGGAATCGTTTAATAATAATGCAGGTTGGCACTGAACTATAAGTTTTATACCAATACGCATAAGATCAAAAAAATATTGTCACGCGATTATCTTGTTTACATTCGAAACAGATTTATATTTCTCAGAAGGGGACGGTTCTCGTAAGGATTGAAATTTGCTAGAATGATCCTTTACGAGTAGGTAGTATAAATACGGACACGTCTTCTTTGGAGTTAGTCCAGTTAGAGCTACGAAAAGGCTTCTTATAGTTTGTGTACTTTATTGGACAAAACTTCCATGTTATTTCCCTCTATAATTGCGCAAATACCACTAATTTGGAGTCAGGAATAATTGTATTACTAACATAAACATGTCATTTGTAAAAATTGTAAACAAAATCGGACCCAAGATAGATCCTTGTAGTACCCCGGTCTTAACAATTACCATTGCTGATTTGTGTATGTGTATCCTTTTCGTCTTTACTATTAGATTCCACGTACTTTTTTTCTGTTTGTAATATGCGATTTTATGTTTGAGTCCACAGTTGTCATTGCCTTGAATACAACTTTGTAGACTTTTGGCTCTTTTACTCATCAGAAGAAGTATTTTCAATCTTCTACTGAAAATCTGAGTTATTTTTTCAGAGAGGGATGTGCGTTCCTATAAGACATCGCTCTATTTTCTTAGCAAATTCGTAAAAGTTGTTTAAATAAAATGTCGAAACGAACGCTATGGTACCAAACGTTTTTATCAATCAAACAAGAGATTGAAGTGTAATAAAAATACAATCATCAATTTTAAAGCGCATCCGAAAGAGAGAGAGAGACTTGTTTATAGGGATTTTTGTGTGCTACTCTTGTTCTTTGTTTTTTCACTGTGTTATAATAAAAATATAAAAACATGCAGTAATAAATACAAAAACAAGGCATTACAGAAAATTACAAATTGGAACATATTAAAAACATTAAATATTTGTGATAAGATTAAATAACATCCAAACTTGTGTATAAAATTAAAACGCCAACATTAACGTTCAACCTTAGATTATTTGTACAATAATCGTAGCGTTCAATTTATTGTAGAATATCTCTTGTTTTGAAATAACCGTTTTCTGTAGTGGAGTATAATCAAAGTGTATTGGAGAGCAGTTGTGTGATGCTATAGACATGTATTAAGAGTTATGTAAATATTTCTAATACTAGAACAATAACTTTTAAATTACAACTAAATTTGTTTTTTTTTTTAAATTAAAATTAAAGGCTAATCATACACTTTTTTTACTTTCATACTTAAAACAAATCCCATCATCATCCTTTTTCTGATTTGAGGTAGTGGAGTTAAAAATGTGTAAGTACATACATTACAAAAAATGTTACCTACAGTGTTACTAGTAGGTAACATTTTTTCTGCTTTCTTTTATGGCTAGCTGCCTGGTTGGCGGCAACCCTCTAGACACGAGAAAAGAAAAAAGGTAAGGAGAGTGTTAAGGAAAATAAGGTAATATCGGACAGGGATAATTATTTTAATTATCTCTCTTACTCACAGGAAACGACTGAATCTGCTAGAATGCGAAGAGGCCTGTGTGTCTTAGGTTCTTAAGGCTTAGGATTGAAAAGGCCACCTGGTCACACTTGTGTACTCTGTATAAACTAAAAATAAATAATAATAGAGCATTTACAACAACCTTTCAAATTATTTTAAAACATTTTTGTTAAAAAAACAGAAAAATAACGGCTATTTTAACACTTCAAATGTTTTCTTAAAATCTTCCAGGTTTGTAGTATTAAACATTATTGTTGCCATAAACGATAACTTACCTGTTACACTATTATAAATGTATTAACAAAATAGAATAATTAAACACAGAGGCAGATTCAATATCAAGAGAGCCCAAAGCAAGCAACTCATCGGCGCCCTCGCACCTCTCTAGCGCACTTACTATATTTATTATAAATATTTACTCTACGAGTATAGTTGACGTTAGTAAATGTAAATAAGTGGTAGTATAGTCCAAATTTTAGCGTTTCTTTAGTCCACCATTTTGGTCGTACACCGCGCGCTCGTGGAAGACTATCAGTGGCGTAGCGCCCGCTGGGCCCGGAAGGAATTTCCTTTCTAGGGTGTACCCTAGAAAGGAAATTCCTGGTACTCCTCAAGGTGTACCTTGTTCCTTGGCAACTGGTACCCAAGACGGCGTGCGGTTTTTAGTCGGTTCGAGTCCGACAGTGCCACCGGTGGGTGGTACCCGAGGGGATTTCCGCACAGAAAAAAAAAAGAAAAAAGGTCTAGTTGTTCATATATTGCGTTGCTACTACATATTACAGAGAAATGTCTAAATTTAGTTACATACAATAAATTAGGAAACTATAAAACAATGGCAGTAAATAAACTTAGTGTGTCCAAGGGAAGTCTGAGGATCATGCGCTCACATTTAAAAATTGTTTCTAAAAATATACCGAACATGTCACATGTCGTCGTAAAATTTGAAATACTTTTATAAAGCAACTTTACATCTCGACCTCGACAAATAATTTTCCATTGATGTAATGACAACTGTCTCTAAATATACATATTTTATCTTAATTGATAATTGGGTGACTCCAAACTGTATTGACGCGAACTGACGAAATGTGGGTGTTTTAATGTTAATCTATCGCAATTACTTTATATTCCGACGGAAAATTACTAACAGCACAGAAATAAATAGTATACATATGTACGTATGTGTAGTATACGTATGGACAGAATGTGTATGTTTCAATAAATAAAAAACACTTAAATATATACTAACTTTTAAACTTTCGCGTTCCATGATAATTAATATTGTCAGCCTGTGACCACGGCCGGTGCAACCTGGTCGAAACGTCAGGCAAACCAGAGGTATGTAATACCCTAAATAAGAGATCGCGTTAATTCCCGTTAAATAATATTAACTTAAATATATGTTTTAATCAAAAAAAAAGCTTAAGTTAAATTTTAAAAAATTAAACTTATGAGTGAGGCAGAAAAATGAGTTGTTTGAGATAAAGTGATGATCAAAAATGGTAATCTATCGCGACTGTTACTGGTTTTTTTTTAATAGTGCCATTATGTGTGTACTCAACTTTAAATTTGATTACTTTTAATAATTTTACATTTCTTAATGCCTTTAGAAATGTGTATTATAAATTTTAATTTTAAGGTTTATTACATAGAGTCATTTAATTACTGATTCATTAGCTTCAATGAATACTGTATTCACGATGAACAACACTGAAGCTTGTGACACTGCGCGTTGTAGGTACGTAGGTACTTAAAGAATGATTGGTTAGTATATCATTTAACCCGTAAATTGTTAAGATATAATATTGGGCGATAGCATTGTTTTTAAGTATTTTCATTCTTGGTTTATTATCATCCCTGGAAAATACTTAAAAGAAACTAAACAAAATCATTTTCAAGAAAATGGGCGGGTACCACTCTATGAAAAATAATACTTTGGTATAAGTTGTCAATTTGTGAGAAAAATCAATCTTAGTACAAAAAAATAATTTGGAAAAGAAAATATTTATTTGTCATGAAAAAGGTATTATTTACAATACCGATATCTTCCTTTTTTGTCATGATCTTCGTAAATATCATATCGAAAATTTTGTAGTGATAGTTTAACTTTATTTTATCTCCAGTATAGCAACCATGCATTGTTTATATTACTTCTTTTAAAAGCTGTGATAGTCGAAAGTGTAGCATCTGATGGTGAAGGCAATGATTGCATAAGGTTTAATGTAGAAGTGGCATCATAGTTAAAGGGGATTGGAACACTTCATCCAATTTTAATGGTATATTTTAATCAATAACATGAGCGGTCCCCTCAATATCTTCGTCACTGTCAAAAATGTTAAGGTTTTCATAAGAACAATCCAATGAAGGTGGAACTGAGCTTATAATATGGGGGAGAAAAGGGTTCTAGATGGGTTCATTATCATAAATAGTGCTCTCTTCATAAGAACATTTTGCAAAGGAACCAAAGCAATAATTTTTTGCGATCTTTTTAATTTCAAGCACTGAAGCAAAAAGAAAAGAAAAACACGCTTTATACGCCCATGCCACGTATAACAAAAACAATGATTGGACTTATAAGGGGCGTGTGCTGAAATATGTGACTTAATTACTTGTTACTTGATTTGGTCTTAATAATCATCATTAATGACTTAAAAACGAAAACAACATCAAACAAATAACAAAAACAATTGAGATCTAGCACCACACGCTGAAAAATATTTTCTTCTTTTTAATTTGCTAGTTGCGTGTTTTTTTTTTAACTTCAATTTATTTTTACTAAACTTTAAGATATCTTTAATAATTCTAAATGTTAAAATTACTTGCACTGTCACAAATAAGTAGTATATGGTTGGTGTATGGTATGGTTTTATAACTAACACATCCTGGGAGACCATGTACCGATTTAAGGGTTAACTGAAATGCTTTAAAATGCTTTAATAATATTTTTGCAATGAGACCATCATCTTATCACAATTGTTTAAGGAATGTGACATGAATTAATAATATTATGATCTACTCGGGGCAATGAAATTTGAGCTCTATGTTGCGTGCTGTATGTGAGGCACGGGAGTATATATAAAGAACTTAATCGTCTTGTTAAACATTATTCTTTGATAGCGATTTGAGTTATAATTGAACACGCTCCTTTAGTTGATCATAAACAAACGAGTGCAATAAATACGGAATAAAGTGTAAATAATTTTTTGTTCCCAAGTTGTGGTTAACTTTCAATTTTTTTGTACAAGATTCCACTAGTTAAAGTTATGGCTTCAGACAATACTAAGATGTCAACGCAAGAATATTTTGCTCTAGAAGACAAGTATGGGTGTCACAACTATGCTCCCCTACCGGTTGTGCTGTGCCGCGGTAAAGGTGAGGAATACCATCAGAAAACTAAATAAAAAATCTATCAAGTATCTCTGAACTAAGACGGTTGACTGTGTGAATAATTATGTTTCATTCTCTACTCCTACTATAAGTATTAGGAGTTTAGTGTGTAACTAATTGCAATTGTCAAAAATACATAATTAATATATTTTGTATGCATTTTATATGATCATTATTTATTGTGGCATTCAGATGTTGTGTCATCCATTGTTTCTAGCTGCAAAGGTAGCAACGTACGTTTTGTGCCGCTTCAAATCATATGATTTGGGGAGAAAACGGGATAAAATATTAAGTAGGTATATTAAACAAAAACAAGGTTTAACGGCAAACCGATTAACAACTTTCCGACCGAAAAGTAATTCTACTGTTCGCCTCATGTCTTTATCATAAGACGATCGTTTTTACTCAGAATATAATAAAATACAAATGGTTTTTTCATGGAACGTGAAATAAAAACTCTAAATTTTTTTTAACATTACACAATTTGCACACCCAGGACCTCTTTCGTTGTGTACAGAATGTGCATTGACTCACCTCCCAATGTAAGTATGTAGCTCTGGTACACACCTACTTGTTATCTATATATTGTATCTATAAACTTAATTCATAATAACATATTAAACCGCTTTTTATATTTGAAAATAGTAATGATATACCTACATAAATTAAGATTGTTTTGATTGCACAAGATTATGACTAAAATCTAGTTCAGAATCCATTTCTGAATTATATTTTACAACAAGGGGGTTATGGCTTATAAGTTATAAGCCATAACCCCCTTGTTCTCAAAGATTATGGAAACCGTAATCAACTGTCAGCTCTTCCGGTACTCAGATAATCACCAGCTAGTCAATGACCGACAATATGGTTTTCACCGGGATCGCTCAGCTGGTGATCTTCTCGTTTGTCTAACACACCGGTGGGCACAGGCGATCGAGATCAAGGGAGAGGCTTGTGCAGTAAGCTTGGACGTAGCGAAGGCCTTCGATTGGGTGTGGCATTAGGCGCTTCTCTCAAAGCTCCCTTTCTATGGGCTTCGCGAGAAATTATGTAACTGGGTCACCAGTTTCCTTGCAGGCAGTAGCATTACGGTCGTTATTGACGGTGCATGCTCCGACACAGCCTTGCGGGACACTAGCATTTACAAACTTCGTAAATGCAAGGCTGTGTGCTGTCACCCACACTGTTTCTTCTGCATATCAATAATATGTTGCGAATTAGTAGCAGCCGTTGCTATGCAGATGATAGCACGGGAGATGCCTTTTATTAAACGTTATCGAGAGTCGAAAAACTTGTGTCAGAAAATGAAACTTCCTTAACGGAGGTTTTAGATTGAGGTCGATTGAATCTAGTCTATTTCAATAAAGACAGGCTGGCGCGTTCAAAAAAATTAAAAATTATTAAATATAAACAAAATGGAACTGGGTCGAGTGCGAGTTGAACTCGTGTGCGGCACATTTGGCAAACTACCTAACTTAAGTATAGTAATTTCATTACCCTAACTGCAATCCAGGATCTTCCTTATGCTGATCCAGGATCTTCCTTATAATGAAGGTGTGGGTAGGTGTAGGTAGGAATAAGATTCCTACCTACACCTCCCTTTGACCTACGATACCGAGACGTGGACGATAACGGATGTGTTAGTTTATAAACCGAAAGTTACGTAGTGGGTTCTGGAGTGAGCTATGTAGAAGACCTTTGTGAAATAATATTTCATAAAGAGGTTTATCGACAAAATACGAAAGTTACGTATCCTTGCCGACTTAGTACGATAAGGTGGCATTGTGGCCACAAAAAGCCCTTTTCTGTAAAATAGAGTATAGTAGAGTAGTTCGCAGTTTCTTTTAATTTTAATTAAATGTAAATTGGCTGTGTCCGAAAGACAAGAGTGATCTTATAAGGGTTCCGTTATGTTTAAGACGTAAAGGAATAAAAAAACAATACAACTTCATTTATAAATATTTTGGGAACTGTTATTAGTAGGTGTGTAGAGCTTGTAGTCGTGATTTTTTTTTGTAATCCTAAATGGGGTTTCCTTTGGGAGTAACGTTGTACGCGACTTGTTTTCGTGTGTTTCGCCGCATTTAGTTTTTGTACGACATCTTATCATATTTTATCATGGAAATTTTGTCACTTTAAAATATTATCATTGACCTATGCGCCTAAATCATGATAAATTGTATAAGCTGTACCTACTCTTCATACCTTCATTTCCCAACTTTAGAACATTTTCTTTTAATCGAAGTAGAAGCAACCTCGTGTAAGTGTACAATCGATTCAATTAAAGAAAGAATATCTTAACAGGTAGGTACTGAATAACAACATTTTTACACTCTCACAAGTTTGTTTTCGTTTTTTTCAGGTGTATTTTTGTGGGACATTGAGGGAAAGAGATATTACGATTTCCAGAGCGGTTATTCCGCCGTCAACCAGGGACACTGCCACCCAAGAATCGTAGCTGCTCTCCAAAAACAGGCTGAGATACTTACTCTCACTTCTAGGTAATGGGATTATCATTCAATGTTTCATGAAAATTCTATACAAGTTTTAATAGAAGTCTTCATGGCCCAATTGCCAGAATTAACATGAAAATAATTTTAAGAATTACCTAAATATAGGCTATAATTTAATATTAAATCGAGTAAATTGGAAGATAGGAAGACGTTTGATTTGTTTCGTTATTATCAAATAAAAGCCAAAATATTTATTTTAATCCAACCAGTTATGTTATAGATATTTTTAAATCAGGTTTTTTTTAATTTTCTTGTAGTACCTGCCTATGTATGTATAGTATGTACTTAGCTGTATTTTACAAATCTTCTTTCAAATATGATTAAACCCGTTGTACAAAAAAAATAATTTAACTTTGATTACTTCTCAGGGCATTCTACACAGATAAACTTGGTGTTTATGAGAAGATGATGACAGAGTTGTTCGGCTTTGACCGTATGCTTCCTATGAACACTGGTGTGGAGGGTGGAGAGAGTGCAGTTAAGTTCGCTCGCAAATGGGGATACAAGGTCAAAAAGATACCAGAAGGAGCCGTGAAGGTATTCTTCTAAGCTATTATCGTTCAAAAAAGGGCTTGTGTAATAACACTTTACAGTATTATTACACAGGTCACAACAAAGTGTTATTGCAGCACTAGGGTTCAATAATTGTTTCTTCTTTGTTGGTCAACAAGTTTTCTTTTTGTTTAGTATTTTGCTGTATTATATTATATTGACCACATTAAGTATGATTTTTAAAACGAACGGCGCTTTACTATTAACAATTGTTTTACGACCGGTTGAATTTCAAAATCTAGTATATTTATCTCTGTTTCATCTCTTTTTTTTCTTAATGTAAATATCCTTTTTTTTCATATCAATCCTTTTTTTTCTTAATGTAAATATTACTCTGATACCTATGCATTTTACAGGTACTTTTTGCCGAGGGCAACTTTTGGGGTCGTACTTTGGCTGCGGTGTCTTCATCTTCAGACCCTACCTGTTACGAAGGGTATGGGCCCTATACGCCAGGCTTCAAATTGATTCCTTACAACGATATTCCTGCACTTGAGGTACAATATACTTTTACGTGTTTTACAAAAATCCGTATAAGTATCATTGTAATATTCATACTTACGTATTTTTCTGTTTTCTTCGCAGAAAGAACTTCAAGACCCTAATGTGGCCGCGTATATGATGGAACCTATTCAGGGAGAAGCTGGTACCATAATTCCCGATAAGGGTTATCTTAAGAAAGTCAGAGAGCTGTGTTCAAAGTATAATGTACTCTGGATCGCTGATGAAGTTCAGACTGGCCTAGGTATGAGAAACTATGTGTTCGGGATGTCAATTCATTGTTCTTGTATGATATTATTCTTAAATGTTTTTTGGCGTTGTACTATTCCAGGTCGTACTGGAAAATTGCTGGCAGTAGATCACGAAGGCGTAAAGCCGGATATCGTCATTTTGGGGAAAGCGCTTAGCGGCGGAATGATGCCAGTCTCTTGTATATTGTCATCAAATGAAGTCATGGACGTACGTACAAACAAAAAATTTAAAATATTTATTTGGATGCTCCATCGACCAGAAATCAAATATTTGCTTAAATATATTTTTAGGTTATCACACCCGGCACACATGGTTCGACGTACGGCGGTAACCCCTTGGCGTGTGTAGTTGCTACAGAATCAATAAAGGTAAGGAAACCGGGGAATATTTACCACTGTATAACAATTTGTAAATTTATTGCATCCTTAAATCAAATGGTTTTGTTACGAGGTTCTTTATGTCTTAGATGACTTTCAACTTAAATGAGTTATGTAATTTAGCCTTTTTGAATTCTTTTAGGTATTATTAGAAGAGAAGATGGTCGAAAACGCAGCAAAACTGGGTGAAGTATTTCACAGAGAGCTCAACGGATTGTCAAAGAGCAAAGTTACCGCAGTACGTTGCAGAGGACTTATGGCTGCTATTGACATTGAGGACAGTATGTAGACTGTAGTGGAATAATATTTGAAATAACCTCTTTTAATTTAAAGCAACAAATGTATTAATGGTATTTATTTGTATTCTTTGCAGGTATTAGTGCATATGATGTTTGCTTAAGGCTGCGCGATGCTGGCATTCTGGCGAAGCCTACGCACGGTCAGACCATCCGTCTAGCCCCGCCCCTCGTCATTACTGAGGACCAGATCAAGGAATGTGTAAACATTATTGCTACAGTTTTGAAAAGCTTCAAGAAAGATGGCATTCCACCAACGCGTTCTGGGTAGGAACATGAACATGACTCGCAAAATAATAAGACTAATTTTTGTAGGTAAAGAAGATTTGCCTTCATTATATAGGTATCAGTCAGCGGAGAATATTTATTGTTTACCATTTGCGTTAATGTGTTTATAAGAGCGTGACTTATTAGTAAAGGGTAGACAAAGTACTTCTTCGTTACTTAAAGCAAGTAAATAGTCTGAATTGGTCAAAGCAGCTACATTGGTAAAGGATTTCATAAAATAAATACGAGTAAATTTTACATTTTGTGGTTTTTTGTATCAATTTTTTTTACCTCTTTGCTACATGCTTTTACGATTGATGTTTCTACCTTTAATATCAAGACGGAAGTGAATTTGAAGTGATTAATACGTACGTATCCTATGGAGACGATTCCAAGAGTACTTTCTTAAATCCAGGTTTATAACTTATTGGAAAAATAGATGCAGGCAGTTAATTTTAGAACTTGGCGCCTCGAAATAATAAGTCACAAAGTGGATTCGATTAAATAAAAAAAAACTTTCGTAGACTAAAGTCAGTAAAAACCAACTAGCAGACGATACTCAAGAATGGTCTCGTCTTCAAAATTTCTTAAGTCGTTTTACCTGATGGTAAGTGAGTAGCTCAGTCTAAGGACACCTGCAACTCAAGGGTGACAATTAGACATGGCAATTATTGCTACTTTTAAATCAAATTCATTTGATGAAATGATTGTTGGAATGAAGTTCCTTATCGCGCGTTGTGAAAAAACTAGACGGAAAAAAATCTTACGAAAATTGGTCACGACACTTTTTGCTATAGTAAGCTATTGTAAGCTGTGCGGCGTCGCATGTTTCTCTGTCTGTCTCTCTCTCTCTTATAGAAAGCAAGCCAGATATTTTCATTTCTATCTTTTTATGTCAGTCATTCAGCGCCATCTATCGAATAGATAGGAAATCATTTCTCAAGGAGATTTTACCAATGTATAAATTGTTTTAATTAGAAACCAACTGAAAAATATGTAGGTAATAGCCGCTTTCATAGATGGCGTTGTAATTAAAATGTGCCGAATCAGTTTTACTCGATCGTTACAACTTCGTTCCTATCGGGTGTCCCACGACACCACACGGCTTTTTTTTTAGACAAAGCGATTTCACGTGATTTCACAAAAAAAAACAAGCTACATTGGTTTTGTAAACCAGTCACGTTTGTGATGATATGATTTATCTCATGTGATTATGGTTTTATTCCATCCCTAGTCACAAATGCCTTGCTGCTCTTGGAGCCTCCCAGAATTAGTGAGAGGGGATTAGGCATTCAGTAACTTCACTCACTGGATGAAAAGTAACAAAAGAATTGATAAACACCGGTTTTCTGTGAGGCCATTATCACTCCAGTCGAGCTGGCTCGTGAGTCACGACTCTCTGAAAAACTGGTTTAATTACCTGAGACTGCAGTAAAAAAAAGTACCTATTCTGTCAGTCAATCTAACTTTCATAGTGCAAGCTCTGCTTAGTTTAATACTAGATGGCGCTGTGTGTCTGTTATCCAAAATACTTGGCACTGGACTTGTCTCTACAAGTGCTGTCATCGGCGTAGTCAATATGCTCAGGCGTTAGAAGGTCATTAATATTAAAAAGGTTACAGAGAGAATAGACCCCGGTATGCTGGCGTTGATTGGCTATTTGAATGGAAGAGTAGTAAGGTGACTCGAGTTGAAGAAATATCTAGTGAAAACCATTAACCAGCATCATTATCTTTATAGCTAAAGGGACACATGCGCTAATGATATAGATAGACAGATATCATCTGTGTGTTTGTATTGGATACCGTTAACCGTTGGGCAATAAGAATCGTATGGTAGATCATTAATGACTAGCCTACCTAAGGTATACAAAAGGAATAAATTTTACACGCTTTTTGAGTTTAATTTTTGCTATAGGTCGTAGCATGATGTTTGATATAATATCATTTCTCGATAAAAGGGCTTCTTATTTAAAAATTATTTTAGTGTTGGAAACAACACTAAAATAATTTTTCAAATCGAATCAGTAGTGCCTGCGATTACCCCGAACATACAAACTCACAAACTTTACCTCTTTATAATATTAGTATAGATACTTTACTCTGAGTTTGAAAACGCTTCTACCAAAAATAACGTAGTTTCATATAAAACTCCAAACCATATTTTGCACCGTAAGTGGTGGAATTTTTAAAAATATTTTTTTAGTGCACACCTACATCGAGGAACATTTGAGCAAAAATTTATGCTTTTAGACCCAGCGGTTTCAGCTGTGCGTTGATCGATCAGTCAGTGAATCGTCTGTCAGTTCCTTCTTTTATAGATATTAATGATTTAAAAAAGAAAGCCTATTTAAGAGTAAGGTGAAAGACGAAAGAGATTTCTACATATTGCTCTTTTAAACTGAAACATGAAATAGTGGCCTTTGGTTTAATTACATATTCGTCATTAGCTTTAAATTGCTACTTTCACGAGTTACGGGATATTGACAGGGAGGCGGAACGAAGTGAAACGATTACATTCATTCAATTCTGTTTCCCTTTTTGTGGTATGGAATCCTAAATACTGTATGTCAATAACAACTTTATACCATTGTAATTAATCCACTAAAGAAAAACGCAAACAACTGACACATGTTGGTAGAAATGTGTGTAAATTGTACATTTCCTTACGTGAACTAGTGTAGTATTTATTTATACTTGAAAGTGTAATTAACAGACTAACTCACATTCGAGTTTATAAGTTTGGATTGACTTGTAAAAACATGGAGAGTTATTTTGGTATTTAGAATTACAAATAATAATGTCTATTTTTCGGCATTTAAGTACTCTGTCTATGTTGCAAATCCTAGGATTTACTTATGATGAGGTAAAAGCTCAAAATGAAAAATCATAGCAGAATATTCAGGGCTTTTATCACTAACAATATTAACAGTTAAATAATTATTAATTCTTGAATAAACTTATCATAGACATTAGAATGACGTATCATAGACATTAGAATGACGTATCATAGACATTAGAATGACGTATCATAGACATTAGAATGACGTATCATAGACATTAGAATGACGTATCATAGACATTAGAATGACGTATCATAGACATTAGAATGACGTATCATAGACATTAGAATGATGTATCATAGACATTAGAATGACGTATCATATACATTAGACTGCACGAATGACGGTTTAAGGGGTCACCACGACGTTTCCTACTGTGCTGAGTGTTACGGGTTCGAGACATGGGACAAAACTCTGTGTGATCCGAGTCTGGGTGTTCTTTGTCTCTGTTTATGTATGTCCGTGTGTGTTTATGTATGATATATTGCTAATGCGGAAGTTCTTTTTAAAAAAAATGCCTGACGGTTCGACTAGGTTACACTGGTCGTCGTCACAGGCTGACCAGCAGACTTCTTCAATTACCAAAATTAATAATTATGTATGTTAGAACACGACCGTTTAAAAGTAAGAACAGCTGTTAAATGGTCGAGCTTTTCCACTAACAGATACATATAAGGTACATAGTATAAATAAAATACTTTAAAGATGTGCAATAAACTTTAATATTAACTTTTAACAATCATCGCACAACACTAATCATCACAGTTAGTTGAGGTAAATACTGTACTTTAAATAAATTTAAAAAACGAACGAGCCAAATATGTAAAGTATCACAACGCATAGCTCTTGTTCCACTGGCACTTAGCATTACAATAATAATAATTAAAGCGATTTCGTTTACGTATACGTTGGCATGAAGACAATATCGACCACCCAGTATCCCTTATATAGATAATAAATAGTTATAATACTGGCGATAAAATATTTTATTGTCTTTGTTTAGTCCTCTAGTTCAAGTTCTAGAACACCCATTTGTGCTCGCAATGTATCAGTCAATTTTGAAAGCAGGATGGTTTCATCTAAACTCATTTTTGGACTTTCTAGCAAACCTGTAACAAAAGAGATTGTTTAAAAACGTGTTCAATTCTTCAATGAAACTTCATATAAATATCGTCACTTTGAACATAAAGTTATTATAGTTGATACGAGTCACGTCGACGGATAATCGCATACAATCTTGCTACATGTCAAATTTTGGTTCATATGTAAGCTCTCTCGGATTGATAAACACAAGATGCAATAATGTAATCATAAGATGTTGGTTTCCCTGCAATTTGGATGACTTTTGAATGTTTACAGATTTTCACTTACTCGTCACACACCTTTAAACATCATCATTATAATTTTCCTAAACTTTTTTTAATTTAATTTCGGTTTAAATTGTTTTGCCCGTTCCTTTTATTGGCGGCCGCCTCCCTTAGAGCAATCGTTCAAAAGTATTTGATCTTTATTAGAAGGGACCCTACATCCCTCCTGTGATTGGATAATTTAGAATTCTAATTGACTTCAAACAGTCGACAATATACCCAATTTCTCCTAAACTTGATAAAAATAATGCATGTTCGTGTATTATTATCAAATGCGTTAAGCGTCACTTGTCGACCTGCTTGAACTTCTCTTTAAATTTACATGGCCCATCCATCACTTATTTCAGGATCGATAATGACGGTGATACTGAACCGCTGATTAAAAATAATTCACCGATAAGATTGGAGTCGTAATAAAGTTGTACAATTGGTTTTGTATACTTTTATAACATATTTAGCGTAAAGAAACACGACATGAAGCAAATAATGAGTGAATGAGATAAATCATTTAACTTATGATCACTGTCAAAAATGTTTGACAAGGTGACCGAGGCATACATGATATTGAAAAAATTGTGTTACTTAAACAAAAATTATCGCATATTAAAGGCGGTAGGGAATACATCATTAACACAACACACGGATGGAGTAGTGGTTTAAACGGTCGTCACGACGCTTCCTACTGCGCCGAGTGTTGTGGGTTCAAACCCCATATGGGACGACACTTTGTGTGATCTAAAAATTATTGTTCTGAGTCTTGGTGTACTTTGTGTCCGTTTCATGTACGAGTATATTTGTAAAGTCCCTCGCGACACGGGATTTATTCCTATTGCGGGAGTTGTCCTTTTAATAAAAAAAATAGTACTATTGTCGTCTAGATTTGAGAACAGGCGTAAGAATAATCCTTAGCTCCTTTAAAAGTTGTCGGCATAAAAAAATCACCCAAAAATTGAGAAAGATGCTCCGAAAATGGTTTTAATTTTTTACCTATCAACATTCTTTATTAAAAAGTAAACATTACACTATGACATAATTTCATGTCATATTTTATTTTGGAACATACACTTTTTACAAGTAGGTAGTAGTAGTTAGGGAAATTAAATTTGAAGCATATCGCGCATTATCTATAAATTGTTTCAACAAAATCTTTGGGCATGTGCCTTTATTGTAATTATATGATGTGACGTGACATACCCAGTTAGTAAAAAATTAAATACCAAATACTTGTTTATTGCGGGTAATGTTATCTCAATGACTGTTTGCTAATAAAACTGGTCTTTACCTTACAGGACGTGCTTTATTCTATTGTAAACTAAGCATTCGCCTTGTTATTTAAAAATAACTGTTCAACTAATCGCCTTGTTTACGATACCATGTAAAGCAAATAGCCTGTTGGTTAACGAGATATATTCAGATAACGTAGTTAAAGACATGTAAAGTTAAAATAAGATTTACGTAGCGTAAGAAAGCCAATTACACACCGGTATTTTGAACGAAGGAGAGGAAGAGCGGGGGAGGGGTTTCATACATTTTGGGAGTCGTTTTAAATACGTATCTAGGTAGTTGGTACTTCTGAACGCTTGCACAACTACAATACTGCTAAAACTAATAACTTCGAAGAAGAGAAGAAAAAAGAAAGTATACCTAATTAACTCTGATGTACCTATCTAAGGATGTTGAATGATATATTTTTAGGGTTGAAGGCGGAAGCCACTTCAACAGATGATTTTTTATATATACCCCAGCTTAATGTTGCCAGTTGAAGATAGAATTTCATTCCAAGCAACGGCTCGATCACCTTATCTTTTTATTACGAGATTTTGACAGCGCCATGTGTGATAACTGATAACGTATCGTATCCATATAATATTGTTTCCACAAAGTTACATAAACTCGCGCTTTTCTTATTTTCGGGAGGCAGAGCGTTTTGAACCTTTCGATGGTTCACTAAAATCAGATCACTGAATGTCTCCTTTCTCCTGTTTGCCTTCTATTCTTGTTTTACCCCACATTCCGCATTCTCTCTAACGCCAATGCTAGCCTTTAACATATTAACTGTTGACCGATCGAAGATTCGGTTTCGATTTTCAGCCGGTTTCAGCAAACAAATATGTTTCGGTCTATAATAACTGAAATTTTGGTCGAAACCGAAATATAATATTATTTGCATTTTAAACAACGGTTGGCGTATAAACAAAGAAAAGTTGAAAGAAATGTAATACTCAGTTTCTGGCTATATGTCAACATTACGTCTTGCGTAATTTTATGACCGCATTTTATTATATTTAGGCAAGTCTGCGCTAATTATTAAATACGCAATAAAGATATAAGTATAGTATCGGTTTTGTTTGGTCTTTAAATGTTAAGGATTCATAATTTTATTAGATAAAATACTTAAATACCAAATAGTTTCTATTTGTAGCTAGTAATTTTAGTTTTTAACTTTCAAAGGAAGTTTATTGTTTTCTATAACCAATAAATAAACTAATAATAATTTGTGCGTCTTGTCCAGTAAGTAGTGTAAATAGCTAACCTTTGCTGATGCAGTCCCAACATTCCTGTATTTCATAACTGAGGCCAGCGCTGTTGTGGAAATGAAACTTGTATTTTCCTTTAGGTAGGGTCCACTCCGTATTGTTGGCCGCCGATATGTGTAACACCGTGGGACACCAAAAGTATTCCAACTGTAAACGTTAACAAATATATACCTTTATATTGGGAATCTAATTTGAATCCCACTTTTTATACAGTAGGTAAAATAAGTTATTGTTTTTCAACCCATAATTACCCACAAAGAGAAAGAAGGTGCCCACTTTTTGCATGTAGACAAATTTGTCAATTTACAAATTAAGAAAAAACTTATTGAATAAATAAAAGTTACTAAATTGAATGATCATTTATTGTATGAACTGCCAAAATATTTATGTGAAAAAGTAATGTCATTTAGTGTTGCTCCCGTATCTCTTCACCTTGCTAGATAAGTATTCGTAGCAAATAACACCAGGTAACACTTATTCTTTGATAACATATTAAATAATGATAAAATACTTGTAAGATAGTTTTAGGTAATAGGAAATATTAGATTTAGTTTATAATTTAGATAATAAGTTTCATAATTCATTTGAAATTGTCAGTTTTTCTATGTGTTTTACAAATATGCGAAACATAAGAAGCCAAGGCTTTACGTCATCAAGTCAGTATTGTTGTAGATTCTCAACCGACTTAGGCAATTCTCAATTCGGCTGTATTTTTATTGAGTTAGTTACCCCAGCACTTCGTTATTTATGAAAATTATCTTTAATTTCAAAGGGCTCGTTTGGCGTCATTGAAATTTCAAGGCATTCATCCCATAAAGGTGAATTGAAAGTTAAGGAATTAAGAGAACACTTTATTGATCACGATGTAGGCGCACTGGGGTCGGTTATAGTTTTATAGTTTCTTATCAAATACCTAGTTTTATCCACGATTTTTTTTATTTATATACCTACTAGCTTTTGGCCGCGACTCCGCCCACGTCATCATCATCATCAACAGCATTTGTCACTGCTGGACATAGTCCCAGAAAGGTTTTAGCCTACTAGCTGGCCAGAGGCTTGGAATAGGGTTTGTTTCAAGTTTAAGTTTTTGAAGCCTTCTCTTTGAAGTGCTTTTGTCCTGCGTTGCTCCTTTGCTCTTACGATACCCATGGGAAGAATAGGGGTGGTGACACTTCGTATTCTTAATCGAGAGTGTATGTCGTTTATCGCGGTAAAAAGTAACATGTTACTCGCTGATAATGTAGGTTTCCAGTGGTAAAAGAATTTTTAGCTAACTACTAATTTTTAGAGTTCTTCTTTTCCTTTTATATTCGTAGATTCTTTTTTCACATTGCCAATATTTAAGTGTTGCCGTGTACCTGCGACTATTTTTTTTAAGTTAAAAATGCCAACTTTGACTTCTATAATGTCGGGCACGGGAAGCAAGTTTTGTATACATTCTACAAAATTGTCACATAATAAAACTTTTATGTTCTGTTTCTTATATTAAAATATTACTTCTTATGAATTATATCCAACAATATTTGAATCTCATTATTGGACAACTTGTTTTGCATTGACCCTTTCTAAAGCACACAAAAAAGGGATGTAAGAAAGAACTTTCTAATTTTTAGACTATCGTAAATATTTCCTGCCTTGACCGAAAAAAGGAATAAGTCAAAAAAAATTACAATTCTACTACTGTACTGCTCCTAGCTAGCTAGTAGTAGATCAAGATTACATAGATCAATAGTAAACTATATATCACCATGACAGCAAAATAAACTCGTGTACCTATTAGTCGTTTTAGTTATTGTAAAACTGGTTATTAAGTAAGTTACCACGATTTACATAATTAGTCACGTGAATTAGAATATGACTGCTCGTTTGCCTGATAGCTGTTCTTGTTCACAGTTGTTAGTATTTTCGTGAGCTATGGTAATGTGATTTACCGTAGAACAGTGGGCCGCAGATATACGTAGCTACCCAAACACTAGGATCACAGATCGATGTGAAATAAACTTGCACTCAGCCATCTATATGAAATTCATTTCTCAAAGTTTTGCACAACTTTGTCACTTGAGTTATTTTAGTAAAGCAAAACAAATATAAAACATAGAGATGTGTTTTTTTTTTATATTTATTTGATCTAAACTATTCCTAACTGTTACGTCTTTCGTTCATCATACATAAAGAATCTTCTAAATCGATTCATCCATTTATTTTACGACGTACGATAAAATATATTTTTCAATAGTTTATATATTCAAATATATGCTAAGATAAGATGGAAATTTGAAGACGCAGAGATACACAATAGATGAAACATGTCACGGTCGGAATATACGGCGTGATGTAGTCTCCAAACTATTAATTTAAAAAAAAATCCTTACCGATATACAATTTTTGGTGCCAATGATTTCAGCTTTGTTGCCCATTGTTGCGCGAGTATGTGCCGACAATGTCGCTGTCCTACCATCTGTGTACTTAAGCGCACATGATATGGACTCATCGACACCGGCTTTACTGAGGTGCCCCGTACATACTACATCTGATGGTGCATCTTTGTACAAGTACTGCACTAATTGTAACATATAGACACCAAGGTCTAATACAGCACCGCCTCCTAAGTCCTTCATTCTGAAATAGTTTGTGTAATTAAAGACAAAGAAAAGGGTTTAGTCACTTATGTACATAAATTAAATTAAATGAGCATGTAAATAACAAAAGTAGATTTATATAATAAGGTTAAGGCCCCTATTCACCCGTATAAGCAGTTTAAGGATATTTAAAGTCCCTTCTTACTTCTTTCCTTTTAAAATTGCCGGGTTGATTGCAATAGGCTTGACGCCTATTTTTCATTGGGACTTAATTATAATTGGCAAACTTTTGCTATTTAATAAGCCTATTCAGTTATATAGGCTTAGTGAGAGTAGAACCAAAGTACCTACAAGCCACGCTTAATTGGCGTCTAGATAGATTTCTGTTATGTCCTAAAATATTAATATAACAGTTTGTTTAGTAAGGTTTATGGACCAAGTTTGAAATATTACTAACTATGATTATGATTCGATCCATAGACTAAAGTGCAGTCAACATTATGTACGTAACGTATTTTGGCGCCTGATAGATATATTAGATATGCTAATTTGGAATTACTTGAATTCGAAATTGTAATACCTACTTATAATGAAATACCTGTATGGTAACATATTTCGGTTAAGATTCTAATCTCTGATACAATTAAGATATCAATACAATAAAAAATGCCTCTCGATCATCTAATAAGTTATAATGTTTGAGGGAAATCATAAAATTGTTCCACTGTCGTGACTTCTATGCATTTTAGGATGCATGTAAGATATGTTAAGTTAATCGCCAGAAAATGTACAATGTTCATGTACATTTAAGTTTATGTACCTATGTAGAAAATTCTTGAGCAAATGCAGAACCTTAAGCAACGCAGGATGCGTGCAATTAAAACGTTGCGTAAACAAAAAGACATCGTAGGTACCTTATTAAATTACCGCGCGGTAATTTGCTATTTAGAATTAATCCGTCACTTATTTAAAATATATTATTACTGATAATCCTACACCATATTGTCAACTGATATAACGTTTTATTTCGACGTCGGATTCCGACACACCAAAAATGGATTGTTTCAAGTTTTCCTACTCTTTGAAGTGCTGTTGTAAAGCGTAGTTTGCTCCCTTAGTCGGCTTTTACGATACCCGCGGAATAAATAGGGGTGGTGACACTGTATTCTTAATCTGTCATTACGCGGACATATTATTGGGGAATAATAAGGCTGTAAAACTTTAAGAGCACAGGAGTGACCATAAACGCAAGTGAAACCGGGAGCCGGGAAGAGTAAGCATTTTATAAAGAATATCATATGATACAGTTTGACTATTATAAAGATTTACATGTAGAGCTTGGTCCATTACATTCTTATCTAGTGCTTAGCATTTATTTGCATGTTAAGATACTTTGCAAAAGCGGTCACACTGCGGCAACTATTTGGTTCTACTCTTAATTCTAAACAAACTAATTTCAGGCAGACGTTATCTAAATAAAATGTAGTATGAAGGTGATAAAGAATGATGGTAAAGTAAATAAAAGCAGTCATAATAAACATCTTACAAATTCCTCTCAATGTCGTTAATTTCGACCCCAAACTGTATGCTGATGTGATAGATATCCCCAAGCCCGCCAGAAGATATGTGCTCATTCAAAGCGTCGTAAGCAGGGAAGAACCTCGACCACATTCCTTCAAGGAGAAAGAGTTTCTTTTCGCGCGCCAGGTCCACTAGTTGTTTAGTCTGTTTGTAAGTCATGCCCATAGGCTTCTCGCATAGCACATGTTTACAGTTCTCTAACATTAGTTTGGTTATTTCGTAATGTTGTAAATTCAGTACACTCACGAATACAATGTCTGTAAACAAGAGAAATGTCTCAATGTGAGAATCAGTCAAGGTTTGAGCTATAACACTATACAAGTTATGGATATGTCATGTGTGTAACTTTAGTGATAGCTGCAACCTTCCAAACAACCTCGTATTCAACGACTACAGTAATTATTTTACATAGGTACTTTACATGTTAGTAGGATAGCAGGCATTATACGGAAGTTAAGGATATAATAAGTACAAGAAATTTAATAGAACAATATTAAATTCAAGGTACATAAAGCAGTACATACATAAATAACACTGCGTACAAACTAATATTTTGTTACCTATGCGGAATGTTTAACTTGTTCTTACAGTAGGTACATGCAATGAATAATGAAATAAAAATATTTAATTGCTGATTATGGAGCCTTAAGATAACTTTTCATAATAATGGTCATAAAGCTTAACAGTGTAATTAAACAACATAACACAAGTTTAGACAATAAATATTATCTTTGTATACGTACGAAAATATCTATAGAAATGTACATAAACAAAAAAAACACTGACTACAGCAGGAATATAATATTGTATGTCAACCTGTAGAAACGTTACTATCGCTTGAGTGCCTTCATTTGACATGTCGAGTGCAGTACCATTTGTTTTTGCAAAGTCGGCACTAAAAGCCGGTGATTAGAAAATTTACTAACTGAAAGGACGCAAACCAATTTAAGGTATTGGTGGATTGGATGCAAGCGGCTCGTTATTCCATGACAATTGAATGTTCGAGGAAGTGTCACAGTCACTCGGCTTGAATGACTCGGCGTCATAACATTTTATTTCTTTACTAAACGTTTGTGTAAACAATAGAACGTTTTGTTACCTATAGAGCCATCACGCGCTAACGACTCGTAGCCTTCGTATGCTGTGTTGATTTTGTGGAGCGTGGCCAATCTATGGACACGATCTAGATCTTTACCGGCCACGGCAACGGCCTTGTGCTGTTCAGCCGACAGAGTCCCCATAGCAGTCAAGAAGTCGTGGGCGATCATACCCACACCCGCTATACCCCATTTTAGTTGCATACTCATCTGGAAAAGTACAGAAATATTGTAAACTATAATATAGTTTCCGACAACATGTGTTGTCACTCCGGGTTGAGTGATGAGGATTATACGAAGTTGTGGCATATTTAGACGATCTTTTCTCGTAGATAAGATTAGTTTGTGATATGTTTGATTACGTATGTAATTATATTTGAAAGGACTCCAATATAATCAAAGAATTTTAATGCAGTTAGTATCGTACTGATCACTGATAATTATGATACTACATATAATTATTACACTTAATTGTAAATGGACAAAAGTTATTGTGTTTTACCACGACTTTTTACTTGGTTTTATTCATCAACAGCCTTTAACAGTCCACTGCTGGACATAAGCCTCTCCTTAGAAAGGAGGTTTAGGCCTACTATACCACGCTGGCCAGACGGGCTGGTTTTATTAAAAATGAAAAAATAATTTGATATAATCTAAGGCTATTGGAACAGCAAGTTTATAGAATAGCAAATATGATTGCTTAGTATTAAATACTATGCTCGATACTTTAAATAGGTAACACAAAACTTCTTCAATCATCTATGAGTAATATGACACTGCCTACCACGATGATAATATTTTTTTCCAAATGAATACAAACTAAAGTAGTTCTTATCATTTAAGATAATCAGCTTATAATGCTATACCGTTATCACAAAGCATCACTTTGAAAAATGTACGTACAGTGATTTGTCCTTAAACAAATTGGTCTAGAAAACTGCTCTACACGAGTCTTTAATATGTGTTAATTGAACTGTATATGAACCTATTACATTAGCTGATGTATTTATATGAAGTAATGTGTCGTCATTGGTCCTCCGGGTTGACAGGCAGTTTGTTAGCATTTAATGTGATAGCAGGTCATCATGTTTATTTATATTCAGAGCAGTTCACACAAACATGTGCTGTATGTATGTACATACAGATCATATTACAGTTTGAAAATAATTTTTATTCGTTTATAAAAATAAGACTTGCATCATTATCATTAACATATAGAACGATGGGACTCTGAATGCTAGAAGTTTATTACGTTATGAAAAGTCACAGTATTTACATTAGTGACAGTACTTTTCATTGACTGGTGACGATTTTATCGGTTAGGAAATCAAGGATATGATTTTTTTTTTAATGACAGAAGGCCAATTCTAGTAATAAGAGTTTGATCACAATTCAGTTCCGATCAACTTTCGATCTCACAACAACGAGAATTGGCCTCACGAAATCATACAGTGAAAATTTTGGAGACGTAATAGTTTATATTTAACTAGCTGACCCGGCAAACGTTGTTTTGCAATATACATTATTTCAAAAAAAAAAAATGTCTAATAAAATAAAATTTGGGGTATGAAAAATAGATGTTGGCCGATTCTCAGACCTACCCGATATGCACACAAAATTTGACGAAAATCGGTCGAGCCGTTTCGGAGAAGTTCAACCACGCACACCGTGACACGAGAATTTTATATATTAGATTTATTATTGTTTTATATAGATAGAATCAGAACATGTGAAGATAAAGTGATTATATCAGTTTTTTTTAAATTCCAAGGCATCAAGTTGTTTCAAAATAATTAAAATAAAACTGGAAACAATTTAAACGGTAGCAGTCATTCACATGTATATTTTGAAGACAGTAATTCGTTACCTTATTAGTTTCTAACATAAGCGTTAAATGATCGTGACTAAATGTAAGCCAATTTTAGACTATCTAATTAATAGTACTAATATTACAGGGTCTCTCACCCAAAAATTACGTACCTATTATTAATTTCAGAGAACAGGTGCACGTGCCAGTCGAGGTGCAAAGTTTGTATTAATACCCACCGTGCCGTACCGGTCATTTCATTTGCCAGGACGAAGGATTGATTCAGAAAACAGTTTCTAATGGATAAATCTTAACTAGTACTGTCTTAGTACTGTAGAAATAATAATAGGTCTTTACCTATGAAATTGCCGTTTTGTATGCAATAAGTGAAAGTACTTATTTTTTCAATATTATTATTTATTATTTTGAATTTTTTACCCACTAAAAAGTTGTCTAAATTTTGGAAAAAGTAATAGTCGGTAGGTGCAAGGTCTGGTGAGTATGGCGAATGAGGGAGAGCTTCCAACCCCAGTTCTTGCAGCTTGGAGACTGTCTGTTGCGCAGTATGATGCGCAGATTGACCAAAGCTGGTTGCTTGGTACTCACCAGACCTTGCACCTACCGACTATTACTTTTTCCAAAATTTAGACAACTTTTTAGTGGGTAAAAAATTCAATTCCCGAGAGGCAGTACAAAATGCCTTTGAAGAGTTTGTTGCCTCCCGTCCAGGTGATTTTTACAAGAAGGGCATCAATAAACTGCCTCAATATCATCAATCAAGAAGGGCATCAATAAGATGCGTCGATTGCATGGGTGATTACTTCGAATAACAGAAATAAAAAAGTTTGAAAAAATAAGTACTTTCACTTATTGCATACAAAACGGCAATTTCATAGGTAAAGACCTATTAAAATAATGGATGCTAATATATATATATATATATATATAATATATATATATATTACAGCACTTATCACTGCACTCAGAGTTCTTTTGTTTTCATGAGCTATTTTCTTAAGTATTTCATATTGTGCATTAATAACATTAAACATAATAGTAACAATTGTAAAGGTAGACATAGCATTGCGTTTCTATTATAAGAATTTTTAGCTTTTTACACAAGCATTGTTTAGTTCCTGTTACGGTAATATTAATAATACTAATAAATCAGATATGAAGTGTCACATAGATTATATTGTAATTTCATAAACTATCCTGCGTATTTATCGTACTACTTCATTATGATATCTGTTTACTGTGTTCTTGGTAAGGTGAAATTTGTTTTTTAACCGCCGCACACTGTAATTTTATCGAGATCTGGCAGAACTTAATTCAATCGTGCGTGAATATGTTAATATTAGATGTTATTTTGTTTTTTAAAATTAATTAATAAATGAATGAAATAAATAAATAACAAAAACAAATTGTTTCTTTATTTATTTTTATTTAAAAAAAAAAAAATATTGAAACTTTGTTCTAAAGTTTTTTTTAGTTTGTAACTAGGTAAGTACCTACTTAATATTCGGTAATATATTTTACACATTCTTAAAGACTAAAAAAATAATTAGCAATACCTCCTACTCATCTTCCTCCGTTGAGGAAGTTTCTTCTCTCATGTTCGGTGCCTTCAGCAGTGCGATTGTTTCAGAAGGAAGAGCATGGCGTTTTCTATTTTGCACTGTTGATTTGGAAGATAGAAGTGGATCCGAAACGATGAGGAATCGGTTAAGTACATCTCGATTGGTGTGTATTCTGCTCATTTTTCTGCTGAAATACTCGCGATTTCTCCGATATTCTTTGTTGTTTGCTTCTTGAGCTTCTTCTGCTAATTGGCCCAAAGGTGAAACGCATGTTTCAATTATTTCTTTTGAGTGGTCAAGGATTTTGTGTATGCTGCAAGGCATGTAGTACCAGGAATAATGCACTAAATACAGTTTTTTTGTCTCTTTGTCATATGTCTTGAACTTTTCAGGATCTATTTCTAATTCGCATGAAAGTGCCTCCAAGATAACGTGGAAACGTTTAATTAAATCCAGATTGATCCCAGTTATGTCTGCTGTCAGCTTCGAATTTCGAAAAAATCTACGTGCGGTATTACCGTCATTGGTATTACCAGTAGACTGTTTCGGCATATCCACTAGTAAACCCATTTCAGCGAAGAAGCGCTCCTGTATATGTTTCTTTTTGGAAGCCACCGATTCTTTATCTTCTTTGGTTCTGGCCTGCCATGTTTTTATATCGCTTTTATATGCAATGTGTAGAAGACATTCATATGCACGTATCCATGAGTGCAAAGGAGATATTCCGAATGAATACATGTCTTCATTTGCTGCATCAGTGGTATCTGTGTTCATCTTCTTTGGCGTTTTTCCACAGATGTAACACTTTTGAGTCGAATCGTACTGTGATAAGGTACTACATATTTTCCCATCGACCATGGTAAATACCAAGTCATGGCTGCAAATGAGATTTATGCCATGTATAGTTATTTGACTTGGAACTAATTTGGAAATTTGAGTTTTTATTATGTTCACCTCTGATTTGATAACTTCTTTGGTTTCCTTTTTATAAGAAAAACGTATCATCCTACAGAATCTTGTAGAATTCGGTCGAGGATTTTGCCAAATAATGTTATTCGAGTCTTCTTGAATGAGACGTAAAGGAACTAATGAAACAGAAAACATATGTTCATCACTGTATTCCGAACCTTCCCCTGAAATCCTTTGTTTATAGCGACTTTGTGCTGAACTCCCATCGCATCCCCATTTCGATATAAGACGCAATTTTTTAACTACATTCAGAAGTACAATGCTGCTCAATGACATCTTGCTGTACTTCACATATTCTTTGTGAAGTCAGATTTAGTAGTGCTTGCAGTTTTATCTCCGCATATGTGTCTGTAACTTCGATACTATCTTCGGGTGGGTAACACTTGGTTTTAGCCTCTTGTACTAAATAATATGGTATAGATTAGAGTTTACAGCTTTTGCTCCTTTTCGCAAAATTTTATATTGTTCGACGCTTAATTTTACATCAACAAGGATACCTAAAGCAGCTTCCGGGGAGAGTTTTGGTTCAGGTTTCGTGAATGCAGCTCTTGCCTTCTTTATTTTCGTAGCACGTGAAGGAGAAGCAAGAGATATTTCTTTCACAATATTAGCTGCATCTCTTTTGCCTGAGGAAACAAGTTTCATTTGTGTTGCAAGTGTCAATTCTTCTTGAGATTTCGACGTAACTAACTCTTTTAATTTCCTTTTTTTAACTTTTATGTGACAGATTTCAAATGGTCTCTCGGGCCGCCCACTATGCCGGGTTGGTGGAGTTGTAGATCCGCTGCAAGATGGTGCCCCATAGATAGAAATTCAGATGGGAGCAACACCTCTACTTCTAACCAATCAGCATTCTCTGCCAAGAATCTTATTTTGTTTCGCTTATATTTTTTCCATTTATATTGTATTCTTGCGGTGAGACTACTTATTAACATTTGAAGTGATCTTGGAGGTTTATTACATTCTTCTATGTCATAATTTTTTTGAATTTTTTCAATTATAAGGTTATTTCGACCTTTTCTGCCTACTTTTAACCATATATCAAAAATATCCCTTCTTTTCATTGTACATTTATCTGATGGAAAAAAAAATGTATGAGCGGAGCAAAAAGGAGCAAGAGATTTCAACTAAATTTCAAAGGATATTAACCGTAGAATGCTATAAGAGTGATTTCCCGGTGTATACACTTGCATACATTTTTAAAAGTCAACACTAATACAAAAAATAAAATATTTTTCAAGGACTACAGCAAAAACGTAATTTACTAAAGTTATTTTAATATTACAAGGTTCAAACCTACCTCAATGTATGCTCGATGATGTAACAATCAATAAAAATGACCACTTAAAAGTACTTTAAGTGACAAGAACAGACCTGTTCGCATTCAGCAGTAAATCAGAACTAAACAACGAGCACGTGCTAGCACGCGTAAGCTATGTTTCGGGACTTCCCCTGCGTTATATGGTGTTGCCAACTTATTAATTTTATTAAATATAGGTTATTTAGTTATACACCTGTGTGAAAAAGGTAGTTTTATTAATATTTAGAAGAGTATTATTTTTTAGTTAAGTTCTGCTAGATCTCGATAATAATACAGTGTGCGCCGCCGCGTTATTACGATTACTCACTTTTACAAATTCGAAATTCATAACAAATTAAGATAACTTTAACGAGAAAAATATATTTTAAAGGTCTCAGATAAGGTTGTTTATGAGTTCCAACTAAAACATAATTAAGCTGCACCTATAGTTGTATATTGTGGATTAATAACAAAATAACACTAGGCATGATAGTAACAATTGTAAAGGTAGACATAGCATTGCGTTTCTATTATAAGACATTTTAGTTATGCATTGTTTAGTTCCTGTTACGATAATATTAATAATACTAATAAATCAGATACCAAGTGTCACATAGATTATTGTAAAGTTATGAACTATCCTGATTATATATCGTACTAATTTATTATTTTATCTGTTTACTGTGTTCTTGGTAAGGTGGAATTTGTTTTTGTCATCGGCACACTAACCGCCGGGCGCCTCGAATTTTATAAATTCGAAATTTTTAACAAATTAAGATTTTAATGAGAAAAGTGTTTTTAAAGGGAAACAGATAAGGTTGTTTATGACTTCCAACTCAAACATAATTACGCTGCACCTTTAATTTGAGTAAGGTGCCTTGAACCTACTAAAACCAGACCATTTTTGTAGGTCTGATGTTGGAGTCCTGGTTTTAATCTATATAGCACATAGGCATTTTTTTTTCGCCAGTCGTTACCAGGCCTTTTAATTGAAGAGCTTTGTCATCTCCGATTCAGTTCTGGTATAATTTGCCCAGTGGCAGCCTTAGCCATTGCGAGGTCCTGGGCAGGTAAATCAATGGCGAGGCCCTTATCTTTGTGGAATTAGTTTGAATGATGATACTTGAAACAAAAAATGTAACGCAACACATACTGCAGTGCTGCTGTAAAAGCATAATTCAACGACAGTTGACACTGAAACCCTATCAAAATGGCAAGTGAAATGAAACGCAGGCAATCTCCGCAAGAGGGTGCGTGTGGCGTGACATGATAATTTAGCGTGTTGTTGAAGGAAACTATAGTTTATTTCTTCTTTTTTAATCATGAATGATGATTATTATATTATTAAGACTACAAAAGTAACAAGTAAGTTTATCACATAAGCTTCAGCACACGCCTTAGTAAGTGGCAAAAGCCACTAGAGTATTTTTAGGTATAGAAAAATTAATCCTGAAGGTCCTGATCAGGATAATGGGACAAACTATTAAAATTATTGCATTGTCATTGGTCCTTGATAAGTGTGCAAAGTTTCAATTTAATTCGACGTTTTGAAGTGGATCAAAATCACATTCAAAAATTCGTTACAAGTAACAGTAACAGATACATACAAAGCTAATAAAAGCATTTTAATAACAGTCTTAACTTGCTGTCTTTATGTTCCACATAAATACAGTTTTAGTTAGGTGACTAACTGATAGTACATTAATGGCTCAAAAGTAAAATGCAGGGTTATTTGTGAAATAGCTACTGCTATTCAAATCAATATTATAAATGTGAAATACCCAATAAGGTAACTTAACTAAACTATTCTTTTGTTTGTTTTTGTTTTTTTTTTTACTTTTATTTGATAAAAATAATAAATAATAATAATACACATGATTGTCTGATTCCAAACTAAGCAGAGCCTGTTACTATGGTAACCAGACTGCTGATAAACTTTCTTATATATTTCTTAATACATATACATTATAGATAAATTACACCTAGACATAGAACAAATGATCATGATCATCACACAAATATTTGTCTTGGGTGGGAATCGAACCCATGACCTCCAGCTTAGCAGTATTTATATTTATTTTTGTTTATAGTGGTGATATAACGTTTTTTTTATAGTATTTAAATAAAGAACTATTAAGATAGAGTAATTTATTTATGACATTACAGAATAAGGAGATAAGGTTTTCTTGACAATAGCTAAGAATATTAAATTATATATTATTACAATCTTACTTTAGAGACATACTATTGTCCATTCTGGAACTAACTCATACTGATTTATAGTTATTTATGAAGTACTCAACTGTCAGATGTATAATTAAAAAATCTCATTAACAAGCTCTTTTTATACTTCATAATAAAAAAATCTGCATAAATTTATCAGTACTATAGACAATATTAATAATAAGAATTCATTACATGCACACATACAGTGACATGATAACATCTTTTAAAATATTCTATAAATAAAACTTTAATATTTTATACACATAAAGTTGTGAATGACAATGACACTCATAGTGAAAAAAAGCAGGTGTCTTCCTTCCATATAAAGATAATTATTATCGCGCTATTGTCCTAATTTTATACTGTTCAGTGTTTTTTAAAGTATAATTTAAAAAATTTAGTTTGAGGCGACTATTGGCGTAGCTCCTTCAAATAATTTAAAATTAAAGACTTTATGACAACATATGAATAAAAACTCTTAATATAACCTCGGCCTCACTTTTTGCCCTTATTGATACTGTAGTTAAATAATACTATGTACTTACGAAAACTTATATGGCAAACAGCTGACTTAAATGTATACGGCAACTTGAGAAATATAACACCGGTGAACAAAACCTGATAGTATACGAAAAAAATATAACCGTAACTTCCACTAGAAAATACTGAAATTCTTATTTTATGTTATATAATAGTGAATATAGTATCTTATCAATTAAAATAATTTTAAAATTAATCCTAACGCGCAACTTCTGCCCTACGAGAGTTGCTAATGACAGATACAGACAGATTTCATTTTACATTACATACTGACAGTTGACACTGGCAGACAGATAAATACAACTTTATAGTCCTCACCCCTCAAACCATAGACTTAGTACATTAAGTCTTAGTAAGTATTCTTCAAACTTCGAATTAAGATAAAAGCATAGAGGGAATAAGAGCCCCACTCTTGCATTATAGCCAATGAGACAGATGGATAATAGATAGTGCGGTCTATCTCTTTCTAGTCGGGCTCTGTGATTGTCTGGGACAAGTTCTAGCTCTACGATCAAAACCATGCCCACTTCTCGATAGTCAATAGCAGCTCAGCTAAATAGAGACAGAGGGAAATATCGGGCATCCATCTCTCTCGATGCCTGTATCGCTTCCACTTCAAAGCAGACGTACCCCGTTATCTCTCTATGCTTATATCTCTATGAATTAAGCATGAATTAATGTAAATTGACTCAATTTACATTAATTCATATGTTTTACTTCATGTATAATATTATAAACCAAAATATGTTGTAAGAATTTAACTGCATAAAATGCTTAAAACTTAGAACAATAGGTATATCATTATGGCTGATAACAGAAATTTTGAATTAGAAGAGGAAATGACTAGATTGAGTCCATTACATTTCAATATTGTAGCATTTTCTAAATGCCGTTAATCCGTAAATCCTAGGATTAGCTTACTCTACCACCGAGAATTTCAAAGTTGTATGGTTTTCTTTCACCAGTTCAAAATTACCCATTATACATTTGAAAATTAACTAATGACAAACTATCGGGACGACAAATATAAACGGGAGCGGTTGTAGTAATCCTTAGAATTTTCAAAAGAAAATGGTTGAAATATGCAATTCAATTCACGTGTTGTTGGGCGGGTATTAAAAGTGTGTTTCCGCCTTAAATGGGTTATTGGCCGTAACAAAACTTACACCTATCTTATTGTTAATTTTTGCTATTTTTTTGAAAAAGAATTGATTTCCGAAAAACAATGGTCCTCTGGCTTTGTGCTAATTATTGACAATTTTTGGCATTTTTTTTGCTAATTATTGACAGTTTTTACCACAGAATTATTTCTTATTCGCGCGCACGCTTTTTTGAGGGAAAAGAAGGTATAGCATAACTTACGCTATACATGTCGACTAATCACCAAAGTATCGTTTTACTGATCCGCACCGTAAGGTCCGTGTGGTGACGGATTAAGAATACAGAGTGTCACCACCCCTATTTATCCCGTGGGTGTCGTAAGAGCCGACAGAGGGAGAAAACTACTGCATAGAGAAGGAAAACTTGAAACAAACCCTATACCAACCGGTCTGACCAGCGTGGTATAGTAGGACAAAACCTCCTTTCTAAGGAGAGGCTTATGTCCAGCAGTGGACTATTAAAGGCTGTTGATGATATGATCAGTACATATTAATTTTAGTTTGTTTATGTTTTGGACTCTTCGAAAGAGCCTCTGTAAGCCATTTAGTAAGTGTAACTCCCAAATTATTTAATAAATATTTATTTCTATCAGACATTTTCGAAAAAGGCTTTGGCAAAATAGTCAATTATTTGGTAAATAAATAACACAAGTGTAAGAGATCCGGAGATATCGGGCTGGCTACGCTGGCTTAAGTCTCAAGCCAGCAGGGCCATTGTTTTTCGGAAATGGCTATGGCACAAAGATCAATTATTCGCCAAAAAGATAGCTACTTATTGGCAAAAAAATATGGTGAAAGTTTTATAACGGCCCTATGACACTTTAAAGGGTGACATATTTATAACGACTCGAAAGTAGAGTTGGCAGCACTGGTGCTAAAATGCTAAATGTCAGTTGCCAAGAATGTGAAGAATGTGATTGAAAATATTCTATTTGTTTTGTTTGATTTGATTTCTTTATGTTTTTAACATTTTAAAAATGTCTTTAGTCTTGAGGAGAACCTGTTTAAAAGCCAAAGGTAACATATTGTCTTCCAGTAGCGGTAATATTGGATTAAATAGTCCAATTATAATAACTGCGTCACGAACATTTAGTGACGACAAATCTGGCAATAATCCACAATTTTGTACGAGTACTATACTAATTGAAAATGGATTTAACGTCCAAGAGCTGCCCGTAGTTGTAAAGAAATTAAGAGACCTATCGGAAATTGAAGATAAGCCAAACGAAGAAAATGCAACTAAAACATCAGATTCTTTAAACTATCACTTGATACGGGAAGAGTTTAAGCAATGCTTGGATCTACGAGATGTGTTTTCTTTACTCTCTAAATGTACTAAGATAACTCCTAACATTGCACTGGGTGCTATTGAAAGAATATATGACATTGAAAATAATCCAAGTGCACTAATTATAGACTCAAGGAGTTTACATATGAACTTAGCTAAAGGCGCTATTTTAGATAAATTGCTGAGAGTGGTAATGAAAACTGAAGATACACAAACAATTTTAAATATATTGAATACAGTGTCTGCATTTATGGAACCCTTTAAATATCAATTTCACGATGAGCTACTTTTGAGAGTTATAGATAACAAGTTATCCATTGAGCAACTTTGTGAGTTTACCACATTTTTGATTAAAAATAAAAAAGATTGCAAATATTCTGACACAATAGATAAACTTTGGGTTGGGTTCGTAGCCCGAGAGGCTGAAATTAATGAAATAAATATTGTTCAAGTATTTAGCATTCTACATGGAATGAAAGTAAGTAAAAGAATAATATTGACATTGCTGGAACAAAAACTAAGTGATTTATGGGCAAAGATTAAAGTACCAATTATGCAAGAAATTCTTAATAGTTTTATAGAGGAAAAGTATTTATCTTTACAATCATTTTGTGTTGTGGGAGGTTGGCTTAGTGCAAATATACATGCATTAGATGAGGATTCTTTGCTTGATGTAATTTCCAAACTAACCAGGCTTAAATATACAGATGATAGAATTGAGCAGGCTGTTGAAAAATATATGAGACTAAAAGGTTCAAAAATTGACAGTCCTGTCCTTATTGTTGGTATCTTAAATTTTTGTATGCAATTTAAAATTAATAACAAAGTAATATTGAATGCATGTAGTGACTATTTTTTGAGTAACTGGCAAAAAGTGCCACCTAGTTTTCTGAAGTCATTTATATACCCATATGGTTATTTATATTTTATTCTTGCTAATAGTTCACAATTTTGGAGCCTAACAGAGAAAATGTTACTAGAATCATTTGAGAAGGTAGGCAGTGATGATCTTAGTTCCATAGTATTGTCTTCAATATACTCTGAAAATTATCCTATAACTTTGGTAAACAAAATGTTGTCACCTGAATATATGTCAAAGGTAAATAAACCTGAAACCCTGCAAAAGTTTCATTTGATTGATGTTGCTATGTCATTGGAGAGCAAGGATTATTCAGGCCCACTATTACCAAAAGATCACTGGTCAAAACCTATATCTCAAGATTTTAGAATTAAAAACATTGTCAACAAAATAATGGATCCATTAACAAGTCTAGTAGGAGGTGACAACAAATTGTCTGTAGCAGTATCAGTTCCATACCTACCCTCGGATGAAACATATTTGCTGGATATTATGATCCACCCTGTTGGATTGGGCAGCAATACTTTCAATTGGAAATCAAAATCTGGCAGGAATCAGAATATTGGTCTCTTAATTCATTTACCAGACCATTACTGTTCTGATAATAAACATTTAATTGGTCCTCAAGTCATGAAGAAAAGGCATTTGAAAATTTTAGGCATTAAAGTGGCAAGTCTGAAGTATTCTATGTTGAGTCAATTTTATACATCATATGATAAGAATGGATTAAAAGAATATCTCTTTCAAAGTATAAATAGTGCGAAAGAGTGCTTGTAGATATTTTAGTTTTTATAATTTTAATTTAGGTTTAATAGCATAGAAACTTGTATATTTTAATAATTACTGTAGTGTAAATATATGTACAAACGAAATACTTTTCTAGTCCAAAAATGTATAAAAAATATTACAATTAATGACTTTTATTTTATGAATTTTATTTCTATAAACCCTCCTTATGAAGTATAAGCCATCACCATGCTTCATGTTGAGCATGTGTTTACAGCAAGTTACAATTTTCATATATTGTGCAACAGATAGCCCTCTTAGCAGATTATCTATCAACTGTGCATTTTGAAGGAGCTTGCCTGGCTAGACTACTCACCTTATCCAAATGCATATTAGGCCGCCTGACAGTTTAAATGCGAAAACAGATTTTTTACCGTTAATTCCAAGTATCATTACAAGTTGTCTGTGTATAGGTACAACATCAGAATAAAACTAGACACTGATTTTTCATTACTTTATTATTATACTCATAACATCTTTTTCTTATAATTACTCACTGACTAACTCTCTAGAATTATTATTTGAATATTAAATAATTTCTTAAACAACTTTTACATTTTGAAATATTTTTCTATGAAAATCTCGATCCAGATCAAAATACATATTAAAAGTTAAATAGCGCACCCAGCGATTACTATCTATAATTTTCTTTATTGCTCGATATCTTGAGATTTGGGTTTTAAAGAGTTGTTTTCAAGTCAAGGTTATAGTCAAGAGAATCCATCAAATAGTTTTGTAGACAATCTAGTTACATTTCTGGCTGTTACACGTAGGCTCTATATAAATACAGTTTCCAAAATATTTTCATAGTACAAACAGCCTTGTAAGTTACAATTTCATTATGTAGGTTGTTATATTATGTAATGTAGTACGATGGTTACAAATTACATGTGATCCAAAATACCATGGCCATACCGATTATTTATGTATGTTATATGAGTGTGGGGATTTTATTTACGCGGATAAAGGTACATCTACACTCCAGTGAAATCACAGATAAAATATGGCGTTGTTAACATACATCCACGTATCACCCATTGTTTTTTTATAGCCAGAAATGACTACACTATAATTTTTAGCCATAATGGTGTATCACAGCAACTCTAGCTTGAATTTTAATTGTAAAGAATGTGTTACGCTGACTCACAGCCTAAAATCTAAAATAGATAATTTAATAGTTTTACATCAATAATTACTTGATATTCGGCGAAATACAGTCACCGAGTATGTTCACACAAGTACAAGGTACGTAATGGGAATTCCGAACACGTTTTTAGTAGGTATTACATCGGTAACTGTACTTGCACTTAATAATTTTGACTTTAATAAAGCTAAATGTAACGATTGAAATACGAACACGATTTTTAATCTATCTGGATTTCTATGTATGTATGTGCATTTGAATTACAGCTATGTTAGGTAACGTGATTTTCTAACACACAATGTATTTCCGAAATCTATTTAGTTACACAAATTACCGATAGTTGATCGAGAGATGATACTGCAGTTAATCTAGTGTGTAAGTAGGATGAGCTATGCTACAGTATTGCCACCGAGTTTTATAATCACTGAAGTAATGATGTTTGGCACATGTATGACGTTCTCGCGGCCATCGATCATTAACTAGTGTCCTACTTATTAATTTTGAACTATCTAAAATGTTAGCTGTTACATGGTGTTAAGTTTGGTGCCAGTTTCGAAGGAAAAGGCATATAGAAACACGTTAAAATATTATTCTAAAGAACGACTTAGTACTTCTTGGATGTTCTAATACTTCGAAAGTTATCTCTACGTCGTTTGACTTCAATCAGCTGTTGGCCGTTACCAATCCATAACTTTATAATAAGACTCTTTAAAATGTGAGTCATTTCATTCTCACAGAATACAAACTCGTTAGTTACAATTTCACCAAATTCACAATTTTGACTTAGAAGTAACACATGTGTAATTATATAATTTGATTGATTTAGTTATATAGGTAATTCAATAAGTTTACTTTTAAATAAATCATCGTCCATTACCTATTAATAGGCATAAATAGATTTATATATATTGAAGATATATTTTTATATGTGAAAAGGAAGATATGTGATCACTATTTCATTATGTTCGTGATTTTGTATCACTAAGTGATTACGAACACATTCATCAACTTAAACAAATCGACATTTAAATACTTTAGAAATTATAAGTATTTTAGAATGGTTTATACTTAATTTTATTAAGTGATTTGAATATAAGTATATGTAATATATATGCATATGAATATAATATATCTCACTACGATTTAGGTTGTTGTTAAGGGCGGTATTGTCCGCGGCCGGGAGTGTTGTGGAGCACCAGACCGCTGTGTGCCGTTTACCAGAAGGTTATCGTATCTCATAGACGGTAATTCGACAGTCCATTCATAGTATAACTAACATCTACTTACTTAATTTATTATTATGGCATCTACAACCATGACAAAAAGACATACTTAAATGCCGCCGAATTAATTTCTATTTTGTTCGTAACGCAGAGGTGCGCACATTTATGTTATTTTTTTTAGTGATTATGAGTTATGGAAAGGTAAATTTATTTATTATTTATTTAAAGGAGATATTAAAAAAAATGACTCGAATACAAAACACGAGTCGATACTATAGTAACATCTTAGGGCGTTATGTTATTGATAGTTATAGAAAGTAACGTTAATATTATTAGTGTGACAATAAATGTAATGTTAAACTCTTATCTTGGAGTTAATACGTTAAACGGAAACAAATACATGTTAACAAACTATTTCTTTTAAAAAGAGACGTCAGCTAGAACATAGTTAATGTTAAAATAATATGGTTTTCTTTGCCATAGTTATGATCTTATAAAACAAAATGGTAAATGTGTAGAAGTGGCTCACTTACGGACTAGGATATTTAACAACATCGATTCCTATTTGGCAGTTATCTAACACTCTTTTTACGAATAAGAAAAAGTTCCTTAAGCTAATGTGTTGTAACGGTCAATAAAAATTGACAATTTTTCTTCATACACACATGTGCACATGAAATATATATTTGTAACGTTTAAATTAAGTGCTGCAAACCATAAAAAAATAATATAATTCCGGTAGTCAATTTGACTAATTTTCTAAAGTTTTCAATATAAGTTCTCGTTTAAAAGCACTGCAATTTTTAATATTTTTTTCATATTTGACACGTGTTGCATATTTAATTTAAGCTAATCAGCTATCAAAATTCTTTTGAAGAATAATAGGCAAATTATTTATAATAATACTTGGCATCTTGAAGATGTTCACTTTGGAAATAGCGTCTCACATTTAAGGCTTTATGCGCACCATAAGGCAGACAAATTGACGAACTAAATGTTATTAGCCGCTGAATGCATTGAGACTTTAAAATAAATGGCAGAGCATCACTGGAATGGTCTACTGAAGGTACTGAATACATATTACCGTTACCTAAAATAATAAACTTTTATATAATCGATCACAGTAAGAAATCATCTACCTACGCGAATGTGCGCAATAAGTTTCCAAGTTAGTTCCTAAAGATAATTGCGACGGGGGATCGCGTTTAACTATTAAATGTTCTTACTAATACTAAAATATGAATTGTTAGGTTATAATTAGGCTGTTGATGAAGATGAATTAGGTACCCCTGCCTACTTCGGTGTCCTCATTCATGACTCATCGTTAAAACGTAGGGGTTTCTGTAAGTTTTTATCGATCCTTATCAGTGTTCATACAGTTTCACTACCACATTTGCCTAAGACTAGTAGGATGACAGGAAGTGACTTTCAGAGTAAGTGTTTTTCAAAATTGACTGGCCTTATTCAGTGTCTGATACTCTTAGTTCGTGGGTTTATTCAGTTTTTTCGTCAGTCCCACTATAAGTTTTAAGTTGAGCAGTTAAAATATCTTAGAACAGAATAATATTTACAAAATACAATTTTACATAGGTAGTTAAGAACCTTTAAATTTCTTTTTAATAAATATATGCTCTTAAAAAGTACGTGTACATCGTTTTAACGATCATAGAAAATCAAATTACATATAAAACGATAAAGTCTAAAACTAATTGCTAACATATATTAAAATAAAACATTTCATATGGTATGTCAATAAACGAGTGACCACTTGGGTGCTTAAAGTAACTTAGCTAGTCTATTAAAAAACAATAAACATAGATCTAACGTCCGACAGATAAGGCTCCCCATTAAATACATACATTATCCATACATATCTATATCATAGTGAATTAATTTCAAAACAACGACATTAAACAGCAAAATCCAACAAAGTATGTCGTAGCTAATTTTAAATTTATAGGTGAAACGAACGCTAAATACACAGAAAATACATGGAATATTTATAAGGAACGGCGCGATTGGGTCAAGGTCACGAAATGTTGACTTGATGAATGAGACCCGAGCGCGAAACTTGAAAACTTTTAAGAACATAACACTAACAGTTAGTATAGAATCACAAAGACATTGGTATGGCGCTGGCCACGTTCACGAGTAGATGGTGATCACCTCGCGACCACCACCCCGCACCATCAGTACCTTCTCCAGACCCTCTGTCAGCACCTCCAGGAATTCCATGTCTAAAAAGTAAACGCCAATATTAATATGAGCAAAAATTTTGTACAATTTAAAAATAAACGGAGCACCGAGGCATGTTTTATTTGGGTGAAGAATTTTGTAAAGTTATGTGAAATGCAAAACCGCTAAAACTAAAGTGCCGAGGTGGATTAAGTATCAAGAGCGCCCTAGGCAAACATCTCATAGGCGCATCCACCCTCTCGACACCCCCCCTCCCCGCGCCTCTACCTTATATGTGTGATAGTAATGACTCCAGAGTTTAGTTGTCATTTTCTTACTAAAACTTTTATTTTGTTAATCATCTCTAAATCGCATGGCAGAGACCCGCTAGCACTCTGCGGATTAGCACCCTCAGAGCGCGCCTTATTCTGGGCAATCAGAGCTTCCGCCCACACCGTTGCACCGTATAGTACCATTGACCGGGCAACGCTATTACTACAACTTATAGAGTAATCTCCGCTACTAGTTGTAACTAGCCTCAATCTTCGTGAGTATCAAAAAGTGAAAGCAAAGAAGTAGTTAAAATTATGTAATATAAATCCTAGATGTCAACCTTAAGCATCTCTATAGAATTAAGGAATCGTTTATATTGTGTAAGTATGAGCATACTTACTGACACAGTTCTTTTTATGTTAGGCATATATTTTTTCTTTGTCAAAAAATTCTGTAACCTCGTGCCCCTAGGCACGTGCTTACTTAGGTTAATCTGCCACTGCTAAAGTTACACTATTAAGTATTCGATTGGTCGTACGTAAGGAAAGGATCATCGAGGAAAATTACAAGCAATCTAAAATCGGCATAAACCCGAACAAAAACTATAATCGGTAGAAAGAATGACACGAAAGACATACGTGCTTTACTTTGCAATTAGAAAGTAATTCTGTAGTGATAAAAAAAAGGAAATATTGTGTAAATGAAGGATGACAAATTGTCACTAATTGTGATAAAATCGAAAGATAATAAGAGAGGGAAGAGGAAAGGGAAAACTTCAGGTTCACCTAAATCACTAACACAGAAGAAAGTTAAAACTAATAAAACCTCGGTAATCCAAAACGATCACCAAAAACCAAAAAAGAGATCACAAACCTAATTTACTGAAATACTATAAGATCTGATTTAAACTAAAATCCTCCAAAAAATTAATTACTTTAAATAAACGACATTTACTTCAAAACAAAAACACTTCTCTAAATAATCTTTTTAGTGCTTTTTACCCGTGAGTGAGGTTACCGGAGATCTAAGTCATGTACACAAAGGGCGGAGACACATTTGTGTCTCTTGAGTTGCAGGCGTCCATGGTCGGCGATAGTCACTCAAATAATGGTACTTACAGTTGGATTCCCTATCGTAGCTAGTGTCCCGGGGCGGACCAGGCAGGTTCAGTATCACGAGCTGCGAGTCATGTGATCGCGACACGATCACCTCATTGAGCTTCACGGCTGTGTGCATACGCCGCACTGTGCCCTCGTCACTGACATACAAATAATCACACTTTATTATATCTCTAAAATTAATCGATATAAAATATCCACTATAAATAATACTGACTGTCAAACATGAACTGACTATGAGATCTTTAGCTAAATACATTGAGCGGAATAATTTGAATTTTTGTGTGATTAACAAGTTACGTGAGTAGCTGTTGATATAAAAAATCTTTAGTTATTGGCCTGAACCTATCCCTTTAATGATTTTATTTTGCTTGGTGCCACCTGTCATCACTTTCATATTTTATATTTGGCTGCAATCTTTATCAGGTCACTAAGAATTGTTATTAAAAACAAGCGGACTTCAATGTATCTTAGTTCCTTTATCGCCTTTAGGACCAAATAAGTTTACATGGCGTCATTGAAATTCGTTACAACTATTTTCAGAGTGTAAGTACTGATTAAAGTATGATAATTATATTTATCATGGTATTCGCTAGTTCTACCAAGTATGTGGCATGTAAAATTAATTATATATATGAACTTGTAATAGACAAATAAACCAAAAGATCTAAAAAAAAAAATAGCATTAAGTACTTGTGAGAATGGCTGCGTAAAGACCATATTTGCCGCGTACATTTTTGGCAGAAGATCGTTTAGAGATGCGAATTCACTTCACACGAAATCTATCTAAAAGCTATGAGCTTTTTGTTCTTATGATATGCTCGATCTTTTGGCATATTTGTCATTAGGAATAAAATATGGTACTATTACTTACGGCGTGATATCAGCCAAGTTCGGTTTAGGCTTGATTCCATTGGCAGCACCGTCGTGCTTGTTGTCGGCCGGCGGAGAACTTGCGCCGCGCTCCGAGCTCTGCGACCGTTCATCGGGCGAGTCCCACAATGAATCGATTATGTGCAACAAACTACTTCGAAAATCGTCCTATTCTAACCCCAATTTGTTCAATTTTCAAATTTAGATTTTGAACCGCGTTTGTTGAGTTGCACATGACGGATTCAAAACGAATGAAACACGGGATGTCATATATTATATTAAATGTTAAACGATAACTCACTACTGACATTCAAACATCCAACCTCTTATCTAATGTGAACAACAAAACTAACTAAAGTGAACTCAAATCAATGTGAATGAACTCATCAAACATATGACCACCGTGTGTAAATTCGCTAGGACTCGTTGGTGACGTATGGTTAATGTGAATCATGAGTAAATCAAATGAATAGCATAACCAACTCAAATTAAAGGTGATTAAATTGTGACGTTTTGATATTGGTACGTTGTTAGTACATATATTAATACCGTATTGGTATTGATATATGTTCCACCAATAGTATTTTAGAGCCTAACATAATAGTATTTTACATATAAAGTTTATTGTAATTGTGGTTTGTTTCTCTTATGTTACATGAAGTCTTTCAGAATGCAATCATCGAAACGTTATCTTCAATCTGTCCATGGATTGTTAAGATGTGGATTCAATGTTTGTATAAGTAAAGCTATAAATTGAACCATTTCAAATAATGAGTTGTTGTGAGTTGTATGGTAAAAAATAAGCGTGTTCAATGTAATGCATCGTGGGTTCTGATATACACTAAGTTTTTCAAGGTAGTTTAAAAAGTATGCAATGAAATTCTATAAGTTGCTAAGTTGTGCAGGGACTTCAGAACTTTAAAGAGACGTGGATGTTTCAATTGAACCAAGTTGATCATATTCCAGATCAAACTTAATTCATTGTACTAAAGAACACTTTTCTGTTTTAAATTATTATTTAATTCGAACCAAGAAGGACCGAATTAATTATTAAATTAATTAAAGAACTTCAGATTTGGGACATATCTATATTAATATACCAAGTATTGTGCATCTATGTGAAATGCCTGTGACGTATAAAGAAACGGTATTCACCTTGTCCTGGTTGTCCTTTTCATCGGAGTCGGCAAGTGGTGGCGAGGGAGCATCATTTGCTGTTGGCCCTTCTGGTTCTGTAGCACCAGGCTCCGCAAAACGGACCTTACTGGCTGTTTTTACGTCTGCGTGATGGTGGTCCACTATTGCCTGTACCTAGATCCAAATAATCCTTATTACTAAATCAAACAGTTAAATTGAATACAAAAATAGTAGAATGTGGATTTTAAAATATTAGGTTTTCATCAATTGGGTCATAACGAAAAAAAGTATAAATATAATATAATTAGAAATAATTTTGATTTAGTTTTTCGTGATAAAATCATATCCAAATATAATCATGACCTTTTTGATCCCTAATTAGTTCAAAAATGATTCAAATTTTGGTGACTCGGAATAATAGGACGATTAGATTAACAGTACCTACGAGTAAAATAAAGTTTAGGTACTTAAATTTAATCCCAATTGAATGAAGATAAGAAATAGCATCCATGACAGTCTATTATATTTAGGAAAAATAAACACTGAGCATGCATGTTTTAGTACATCCATAATATAATATGTATTTTAACAAAAAAAAATACTGATGATGAAAAGAAAAAAGGAGTCTAATTTAGTGATAAGTGAAGTGGGTACAGCGAAAAAAATCTATATACCTAACAGTAATATAAGAACATAGGGAGACGATCTAGTAACACCAAAAGCAAACATTACATATTTTCTGTATAGTGAATCGGGGTGGAATGTGATGATGATATATACAGATCACATATGAAACATATAAATATGAAGTAGTAAGTGTAGTGTGAAAGACCTTAGCGACAGAGAGAACAACATTGAATCTACGTACGAGAGTAAATGAAAGCTAAAAAGAAAATTCTTTTCTACACATTGCTTATGTAAAAATAGCAAACATAGTGTAGACTTCAAATGCGGGAAATTTTTATACTTAATAAATAGCTAATAAAATGGTTTCAAAGTAAAGTAAGTGGACTCGGAATCAGGGGTTAATTATCCACTTTACCAAAGGTAACTTCTCCTCGGCGTTTTCACGATAGTCCACGAAATTCTGTATATAGCGACAGACAAACATGTTAGTTCTATGTCAAAATAGAATTTTTAATACCAAAAGCTATGTACAGACTGATATTAGATATATTTCTGTTCATTTCATTAGTACCTAATTTTTTATTGTTAGTTTTTGTACTTACCATTCCCATCGTTTCCCTTTTATTGAGCCTGAGTTCACGAAGCATTTGGTTGCGTTGTTCCATCATTAACGTACGCTCGTAGGTGTAAGCAGATATGTCACTGTCCGTCTGGAATTAATTAGTTTGTTTAATGGTCAGAATAGAAACCTTAGATTATAAGAAGTAAGTAAATAGACAATTTAGTCGATAAGAGTACAATAAAAAATATCGTAGACACAAGGTAACTTTGTTAAAGTAACGAATTGTTTGAATGCTACGTGCCGAAAAAATACGAGATTATTAGAAATCATTATCATCATTATCAGCCTTTATAGTCCACTTCTGGACATGGGCCTCTCTAGGTTTTGGCCTACTATACCACGCTGGCCCAATGGGTTGGTATAGGGCGGCGGAGAGGGCCCGGGAGGACGACCTCCACTCGGACCCGATCCGCCGCCGGCGAACCGGGCGGCGGAGGCCCGCCTACCACAGCCTCATGCCGCCCTGAGTGTGGCCGCGGGTGGACGGGGTGGGTTTCCCCTCCACCCGCATTAGTTGGCCAGCCGCGAGGGGGCGGCGTCCGCGTGTGCCGGACGTCGCCTAAAGAGAGGAACATCTATATTGAGACGGAGCCCGCACCAGGAGCGGGCTGGCGCTAGGAGGGGTCCGGATGTCTTAACAACAGCTGTTCCCGGATCCCTCCTGTTACAGGCGCAGAGTGGCACACCGTGTGGTTTTAGTCGGTCCGAGACCGACACACCACCCCGCCGCAAACCCCGGAGGGGTGACGGTCCGAGGGGATTTCCACACGTTAAAAAAAAAAAAAAAAAAAAAAAAAGGGTTGTGTCAAGTTTTCTTTCTCTTTGCAGTGCTGTTGGCCTGCGTAGTTTGCTCCCTTCGTCGACTCTTACAAAATTATTACAAATGATTACATTTATATTTTTTTTTAGTTGTGAGGCAAGGAAAACTGTCTAACTGAACTAGAACTTTTATATATCTCAAAAAGTCACAAACAAAAATTAAAATTAGGTTTATCAAATTTGGTAGTCTAATAAAAGTTTAAACTTACCATTTCCACAACTTCAACCTCAGCCTCAAGTCGGAGCTGGTATAGGAACATTTTAAGATCCTTCTTCATTTGAATAGAGTTGTCTTCCATCTGGGCTACAGTAAAGATGCGCATCTTGCAGTTTTTCCACGTGCGGTGTTGCTTCAGCAGGAATGGGAGCAACATCAGCATGCCACCGTCGTGTACGATCCACCAGATATCAATGTTGCCAGATACCTGAGCAAAAAAGTTGGGTGATTTGTATGGAGAAGGTTTCTATTCAGTTACGATAAGTCCAATCAGATCTAATTATGTGTGAGTAAGCCTGGTGAAGGAAATCTTCTGATAATAATTTTTCATTATGATATTATTTCTGTTAGTCACTTTCAGATGGATTCCAGTGATGAGTGAATTTATACAAGTGTTTTATAGTACTCATTTTATATCTTAGCTTCAAATATATAATTTATTTATATGTTTATTTCGTTTAGTTACACAAAAACTTGTAAATAATAAACATTTCTTTCCCAAATATATAGATCACAGATAATGTATCACAGAGTCGTATCTATGACTTCCATTCTTTTTTTCTTTGTTTAAAAGACAACTCCCGCCTAGGAACACATCCTGTATTGCTGGGAACTTCACAAACATACATAAAACATACACAATGAACACGCATCACTAATTTTGTGATATATTGATCACTAAAACAATATCAAATTACCTTCTCGGTGGAGTCAGGGAAGAAGTTGATGCCCTTGGGGACGAGCATGGCCATGCGCGCGGCAGCCACGGCGCGCACGGTGCTTAGGAAGTGGCGCCAGCGCGTGTCCGCCGCCTCCGCTGCGCGCCAGCCGTAAGGCCACCCCACGATCACTGTGTTGGGCTTCAGCCCGCCTAGACCCGCCGTCTGCACCCTATCCGATGAATTATCACAATTAACATAATTATTTTTAAAGTAAACGATAATATAAACTCTGGCATACATAACTGTTACAACTTCACTTTCGAATTAATAATTCGAATTTGTGGGTCTCCTAACGGATAAATCAGAAAATTGTAATAATATTATCAGAATGAGCTAATATTTGTAACTTTATCCGTCAAAGATAACAGTATGTTTCGATACCAGGTTAGTGTAATAAAAATATTTGAGGTTACGTTGTAACAAAAATATTTTTTTTTAAGGACAACTCACGCACTAAGAACATAATGATGTGTCACAGGAAGCTATACAAACATACATGAAACGTACACAAAGAACACCCAGACTCAGACGACAATTTGTGGATCACACAAATCACCTACTGGGAGAGGCGTGGCGACCGCTTAAACCACTACGCCATCCGTGGAGTATATTGGAACTCAAATATTTTGAATTGGAACTCAAATATTTTAAATTGGAAATCTATAGGGGAACTCAAACGGCAGCAACGCACTTGTGACTCTTGAATTGCAGGCGTCCATGGGCCACAGTAGTCACTTACCATCAGGTAACCCGTTACTCCATTTGCCCCCTTAAATTATAAAAAAAAACAAACGAAGACTTACAAGTTGCTCAATCCCTCAGCTATGTCAGGTGTCACTAGCACGTCTACGAAACCCTTGACTTTCTCTTCCTCCATACACCTTCGCAAATTTTGTTTAGCCATAGATGCATCGCCAGATCGCCGTGGGAAGTCACCGCCCAGCACAGATACACACACTGTCAGACCTTTGCCTGTCAACGAATATAACAAATTAAACTATATGTTACAAATTAATGTACTTTTGTTCTTATACTTAACGACTACCCGGGTTTTTTAACAATGAGTTGGACTTGTTTTACAATTGAGGTTGCAGTTTTAATGGACTTGCGCCCCGTGTTAAAAATGTATAGAAACATACTTTGTTAGTTAATATCGCTATACTTGTACTACTCGGACGGATGTATCCTCATGTCAAGGCATATAGGCATGTATAGGCAAGGATATCATTATTAAGAAATCATAGTTGAGTGTTCATCACATCACATCAACAGCCTTTAATAGTCCACTGCTGGACATAGGCCTCTCCTTAGAAAGAAGGTTTTGGCCTACTATACCACGCTGGCCAGACGGGTTGGAATAGGGTTTGTGTCAAGTTTTCCTTCTTTTTGCAGTGCTGGTGTCCTGCATTGTTTTGCGCCCTTAGTCGCCTCTTACTAAACAAACCAGTTGAGTGTTGCGTGAATAATATTATACATAGCTCTAGCCCCATCAAAATACTTATTTATTTTCAGTTCGTAGCTTAATGTTCTTACCAGCTTTAAGTTGACTGGCAAAAGCAAGCATCTTGCGATACGTCGGCATCAGTTCAACATTCAGTTTAGCAAGCACCAATACTTGAGGTCTCCAGTTCTTAGTATGAGGAGGTCCTTCTTCAAGTCGAAGTAGTGAGTATCGGGCCGCTGATAAGGCAAGACCACGGAGGCCATCTCCCCATTCTTTTTCAGCCCTGAATGACAAACATCAATTTGTTACATTACTTTCTTACTTAATTTCACATTTGCATAAGAATACTCAACTTCAACGACTTTATACAAAGTTCTAGTACTTATTGAGGCAAAATATGAACTTTACACATAAAGATTTTAAGCATCAGAATAGTAACAAAAATAAAAAGGAACTGATTTATTACAAACGCAAATAAAATAAAGATTAAGAAAGTAATTTAGAAAGTAAATTATGAATAGAGTTTTTTACGACACGCTAGAAAAGGGTAAGTATGTCGCGTTCGTGGTTGACCAAGATAAGCTTGTCTATGTTATATATAAATCGAGAAATTGTATAGGTGGTATTAATAGTAGTTCCATAAATAAACCCATTTACATTTTTTAAATCATCATCATTTTTCTTCTTTATTCTTCTTCCTATAATATGCTAGTTTCTTCTTGTTTTCAGACAGGAAAAAAATAAGAATTTACATTGGGGTAAGGAAACAGATTGAAGGGAAGATGAAAGGGATACAATTTTCAAACAAATATACATCAATGTGACGTGATCTGATATCATTCAAATATTCTAGATAAACAGCTTACCCGCGGTATTCAATGTATTTATACACGACTCCAGCTATTCCCATCGCGATGAGAGCGTAGAACCATGACGTCATAAACATAATGGAAATGCACAGCGTTAGACCAGCCAATGACAAAGACCTGCAAGAATTCACATTGATTTTCAATTTATTACTCATAGAAACATGCACTAAATAAGATTGACGTTATATTTTACACATAAAGTTCTATGAAAAAATAAGGTAGTCTAACCAGTGATAGTATTTAAATCGCGGACGCCAGTTGGGAGTCTTTAGCAGTGTTTGAAGCGCACAAGCTAGGTTGACGAAACCGTAACACATAAGGAAGAACATCGATAGTAGCGGCGCCAGGATATCCACATTACCCAGTAGGATACCGCACTGGCAGATCACCATCGTAAGGAGCAGGGCCCTGGAAAATTAGATTGAACTCAAACATCTAAACACAATATTTCTTGCATTCAGTATTACTTATGAAACTTGCGGGAAAAGTATAGTACTTATTTACTTAAAATAAATGTTGAGCTTTTCTAGTTGCTAGATAGAAAATTAAATATTTACACAAACTTGGTCATCGATTTAAGCGGTATTAACATTTGTTGACTACATTTTTACAAACCTAGTTGGTTCACCCCGGCTGGAGGAGACAGCAAACGGTGCCAAGAACGGAATTATCTCATCTCTGGCTATGGCTTGAAGCAATCTTGGGGCTCCAGTCAGAGACTGTAGACCAGCACCCAGGGTGGATAGAAATGAGCCAATCAATATTACCCATTCGTTAGGCCAAGCCATGTTTGCGACTACCAACTTGCCACCGATAGATTGGCCAAATCTAAAATCATCAATTCACAGTATAAAATAGAAGGTCAAAGCATATATATATATATCTAAGTATCTAAAGAGAGCTATAATTCAGAGTAACTCGCAACACTCTATTGCTACTCGACTTATATGTTCATGAAACTTACAATATATATCTGTTCTACGATTTGTTATCTTTCAGCAGTATAAATTCGTTTCGATAACATTGGTAAAAAGTCACGGATGCCTTTATTTGTAACTAACATTGTCGTAAACCTGTTCGGGTTTATTTACGAACGTTAAACCTCAATTCTGTACGTGGGCACTTACTTGTCTCGTAGTAACAAGTTATCAACGGTCCCGGCGAAAAGTAGCACACTGGATAAGTACACAAAGGAGGTGGTCAGGATAGCACAAATCGTGCCAATAGGGATGCTCTTTTGAGCATCAGCTAAGTCTCCTGATCGGTTGGAGCCGGCCATAATACCTGGGGTAAAATAAATAAAAAACATTTTTTTTCAATTAAATGTTACAAACCAGTGTCGGAATTTCCAATCTTGAAAAATGATTTGGAAATATGAAACATTAATTAATTTATTTATTATATAATATTATTAATAACTTTTGAAATGAGAAAAGTGCAAGACATCATCATAATATCTCTTAGTTGCCTTGTGATATATATTTGTGTTAAAAAAACCTTGCAAATTTAATCTCAATCAGAAGGTACTCGTAGCATCGTTGTAATGATTTTAGTAACTGACGTATATTATCTATTCTGTCTAATGGGGATAATATTAAATAAAGCAATAATTAGATCAAGTCTAATTTAGCTCTGACCAAAGTCTTTTAAAGAACATTTACTGAATATTGGTTATAAAAAGGAACTGAGAGATGTGTGAAAATAGTTTAAGAAACTTCTGTATAAAGATTATAATAATTACCTGTTACGGAGGGGAAGAATATGCCGATGAGAATCGTGAAGGTTGTAGTACTGTCAGCGTAGATTTGGTTGAAGGTCGGCCTGTCCATCTGTTCGATGTCATCAGGGTCTTTACCGTATGCAATATACTGGCCAAATTCCAAGAATGAATCTTGTACATTGTCAAAGAAGACACCGCTTTTCAAGCCCTGGAATGTCGAAATACATATACAATATTCTTCAATCAAAAATTGTAGAAGTATTCGGACTATAGTATTGTATTTCAAAACATATATCTGGTAATTTTGAATACCTGTACACTTTTGACAACACAAAATGCATTAACATTATTTTGACGACTGGATGGCGTAGTGGTTTGTGTAACGGACTGCTATTCCAAAGGTCGCGGGTTCGATTCTCGCTCAAGTCAAACATTTGTGTGCATGAACATTTGATGTTTGATTTGGTCTGGGTGTTTCTATGTATAATATGTATGTATTTACAAAAAAAAAAAAAGTATATATGTATTTATGTCAGTTGTCTAGTACCCATAATACAAGCTCTGCTTAGTTTGGGACTAGATGGCGTTGTGTGTATGTGGTAGAATATTATTATATTATATTATTAAGAAATAAACGGTAACATTTCGCTGCCACGCATTGTTCGCGTCGCGTAATGTACAAAGCATGTGTTAATTTTGTATAATTATACATTGTATTTAAGTTTGTTTATGTAATCTTACACACCCTATTTATAATATGTTATTCAAGTATTATTTAGTTTGATTTGTAATATCTAGTTCCACTGATTCTATTTTATGATGTAGCATATTTCTAAATATAAACAGTTAACTTTAGGTTATAATAACGTAACCATACCTTAATGCCTGACACAATGGATAGATTTTGCATACTGAAGTAAGGATCGCATGTGCTGTTTGGACAGAACAGTTGGTATAGCTCGCCGCCTACATCCTTCGTGCAGTTGAGGATATTGACATCTTTCAGAAGCCGCTTGCCTAACACGCACATCCTGTAAATTTAAATCAGATTTTCACGTTTTCATTTCAGAGCTACCTCCGAGGGATATGACAATTTGTATATTGTTTTATTCGAATTGATCTTTTTTCTTTTCAGTTTCTGTTCGTCGTTCTAATACGACTGCTTCGGTGGTGCAGTGCCACCGAGTCAGTATTTGTTTCGGCCATTTGTTTTCCATCCATCGATCTAAAATGTATGCATTTACAAAAAAAGTATATAAGTATTCTATCAGCCAATCTACTTTTCACAGTATAAGCTCTGTTTAGTTTAAAACTAAATTGCGTTGTGTGTCAGATGTCCGATATATTATTTTATGTTTCTGTTTACATCACAGCTACATACATACATATGTAAGTATGTATGTATGTAGCTGTGTAAAAGTGCTCCAATCTGTACTCTTTAGGAAATAGGTAAAGTTATGTAGGAGGTGGAAGATATGTTAGGACAGTTCATCCAAATGTATTCACTAATCTTTGCCACATCTGCGTTTATTTTGTAGACTGCCTCGCAAGTACGAGCTCTTTGGACTCGTGTATATTCTGGTATAATATGTTATGTTTTTTTAGTGACAAGTGAGATTGATGGTAGTACCCACATTTCAAAAGCTATTCCAGTGTCTATGGAATGTTGTAAAGACGCGATTATGATATCTCTGAAATTCATCCCTCGTGTGTGCCATTAACATACATTAATGACGTTTGTGACCTCCATGTTCCTTTTCACTCATACTGATATACATACTTTTAAATATTATAAATACAGTATATTTTTAAGTTAATCTTTCAGCAACAGTTTATCGTGTGTATGTGGTCGGAAACGAGCGATAGCCGAGTTCACCAAAACCGAAATTACCAAGGAAGAGTTTTTTTTATAACTCTGACTTGTACTCACTGTAACTTGTCATTGCCGTTGAAGTTCACGAAAATGCCAACGTAGACAGCGGTAATGGAGAGTAAGACACAGGCGAGTGCAACAGTGGCAAACTTGTTCACGAACTTCACGCCCACGAACACCACCGTGCTCATGATGAGGAGCAGCACCGTACCATACACGCGGAAATTGTTGTACATCGCTTCAGGGTTCTTCGAAAAATCGCCGAAGATTGACATCCAAGGTGCCATATAGGTCTGTTGGAGTATGATATCGATTAATTTCCTTAAAAATGTTGTAACTGTAATTATTTTACTTCTTATTGTTTCGATGTATTATTGATAACTTATTAATCAACTATTTAATAAATATACCAACCTTTTTAAGTATAGAAGTGAAATGAAACATTAAAAGAGTGAAAATTATATTACAGTTTTAAACCATGTTTAATTAGTATTAGTAAGTATTATTAGTAAATATCATGTTCATAACTGGTAAACTATTTTTTTTTTCAAAAAGTGTATAATTAATGGTTAGATAACAAAAATACTAGGTAAATATAATTGGCAAACTTATAATATATGTACCTACATATATGTATATGATTCGGTTTTGTTGCTTTTAAATAGTTAAACAAACATATTTGAGCTTGAAAACATAATAACTTAACTAATACTAACTCAAATAAGCCCCACTAATATTAAAAAGTAACTCTATCTGTCTGTATGTTACGCTTACATGGCTAAATCGATGTTAATTGAATTTGTCATCGTAATGTTTTGATTCTTGAGGAAGAACATAAGCTACTTTTTACCGCGATAACTGACATATACGCGAGAGGAGTCGCAGGAAAAAGCAGGTAATAAGTAATTCAAGTATTTGCAATACTAGATTAAATAAAAAAAATAAAAATATTTTTTGACTATTGCTATCGATTTAAGAGCCAAGCGGCATGTGTTGTGCATATATTCCTATAAACGTGAAAGTGAGTTTGTTTGTTGCGCTTTCACGCCTAAACCATTGATTGGTTTTAAAAATTTGAAATCACCAATGGAAAGCTACATTATCGGCTAGTAACATAAGCTACATTTGACCGCGATAACCGATATAGAAGCGGGCGGAGCCGCGGTTAAAAGCTACTATATTAGGAATGTTTATTATTTTATTATTATTATCTGTCTAAAAAAAATTGCACAATAAATCAATCACTCAATACGATTGATAAACATATATAATTAATCAACAAGATTTGGAATTGGACAAGCAGCAACATTTTTGAAACTAATATATTAAAGAAAAACTAAAATAAATCACAAGTGCCGCAGACAAATGGTGTACGTTCAAGGCGGTCGGGCAAACACGGCGGGCACTGCAATCCAGTCTCCGCGTCTACCGTGTAAGTGGTCTCAACAGAATTTAAGTATATCCAGCAGCAGTACTGCACACATTTCCCGCAGGGTATTTGAAAGCAAAATATGTTACAGAGCAACACAAGCATTATGCTTATGTTGCTTTGTATGAGGTCTGTATAGAAGGGGTAACCAGCCTATAACAGTACATTCTGAACACTGCAGGCTGTCAGTTCCAGGAAGGTTATCATTATACTCACTGTGGAAACTTTTTTAATTGATTGTTAAATTATATGCTATATTTATTTTAACTATTATTTATTTTAACTATATTCTATGTAGTATCTGTATATCATCACAAATTCTTAATCCCAGAAAACAATTTGGATTTGTAAAGTGCTTTTGAAATTCTTTTAACATTTTGAGTGAGGCGAACTATTTTTTTAAATATAGCGCCTGATGTCGTGGTTTTTAAAAAACTTTATTACATTATTTACTATTCGACTGCCCTGGCTCACTGCATTTGTTTTTTTTGTTATTACTAACGTGTTTAAACTAGTAACTTGTTTCGTTAATTGTAACACTGCATGTAACTTTACTTGTCCATTTACTATACCCCACAGTAGTGTGATTTATAAGTCTGGTTTAGAAAGTTTCTTTTGATAACTTTTGCTTACCGAATTGTTACTGGGTTTGATTATGTAGTACCTACGTATGTATTTACTCATTAGCTTAAGAGACTCTTTGTTAGGGGTTAGAACTTTGTTTTCTATACAACAATGTTCAATTCTACTTAGTAGCCTAAGTTCGGTCACAATTATCGTTAAGTAACTAGTTGTTTCAAGTTATAGACAAAAGAACAATTTGGGTAATTACGAATTTGCTCTAATACTGTAGTTTAGAATATGTAATATAGTTCTTATCAATTATAAATCTTCTGGCAGTTGTACATGATTATACATATTATTTATGAGCTGACGATGGAGTTTTGCACTATCATGTTTTCCCTGCGTTTACATCGTATATACATTGCTGTACATATCAAATTGAAATTAGTTCCAACATACTACTTAACTAGATTCATCGGCATCCTTACGGCGCAGTGATTCTCTGTTTACAATGCTAACAATTTTTAGCTTCATCAATCATCAACAGCCTATAACAGTCCACTGCTGAACATAGGCCTCTCCTTAGAAAGGAGGTTTTGGCCTACTATAACACGCTGGCCTGACGGGTTGGTATAGGGTTTGTTTCAAGTTTACCTTCTCTCATAGCTTGCCATACTTCATTTCCATATGGACTATTGAAACCAAGCAATTTTAGTTTTTCACAGGTGCTTCTTAGGCAAGGGACACTTCCTTCTGTGTGTACATTTGAAAACTCCTAGTAAAATAGTGACAGTGTGTTACGGTGGGGAAATTTTTAGATAAATGATTACTGACCAAAACAATTTCGACAGCTCCGACGATGTACATTGCAGCAGCTAGCGTGGTGCCTGTATAGAATAGCATCCCGACCGCACCGCCGCACTCGGGGCCAAGCGCGCGCCCGATCATGAAGTACGAGCCGCCCGCCGGCACCACGCCGTTTGTCGCGATCGCAGACATCGATATCGCCGTAAGCATAGTCTGCCAAACAAATCACTAGCTTTATATCTGTATCAGAAAGCTCCTTACACATTGTAAAGCGTCGACGTCAGAGGAAAGTTGTATGTAAGAAAGTTATACCTATATGTATATACTCGTAGTTATATCTATACTGAAGCGATCTAAAGTCAAAATTAGTCTGAATCTAAAGTAAACCTCAAACGCTTTTTTATTTTAATTGGTAAATCTTCGTGCGTCCGCTCTTTTATTAACGACTTTAGGTAAAAAATTTGAGTGCTCTCTGCATACTTAGAAAGGAACACGTAGTCAAACACAGCAACCTTGACTATTATTAACTTTCTGAGGGAGGAATAAGGTTGCCGAGATTAAATTACTAGTCCAGCAAAAACCTGTAAAGGTCAGCGGAATAAGCCAATGAACAAGTTTAGAATTTATTAAATAGGTTTCACGTGGTTTCAAATATAATAATCCAATTAGCGAGGCTAATGTTGTTAGTGTCTAGAAGATTTAATAAGCCCTCGGGAAGTTAAAATTAGAAGTTGTAGGGATCGACTAATATTTGACACGCTTCCATCGATGTAGGTGTAGAAGCGAGCTCGGACAGGCCCCGGGGAAATTCAATGTAGGTACGAGCAACAATAATGTAATCTGAAGGCGATTTCTTTATTTTAGGCAGAACAGGGAGGATTATCTGTGAGATAAGTGATTTTTATTATTTTTATTCTTTACAATGCAGTTAACATACGTGCGTGAGTTTTAATTAGTGTAAACCACGTAGACATTCAATTAGTGTCAGACTGACTGCTCAGACTGATTTTATTTATTTATTTTATAAAACAACTAAACTTACCGTACAACAGCAAGTAAGCACGATTAAAAATCCTTGTATAGCCCCGGCGGTACCGACCACCCATGTCAGACGGATGAAGAGGATGACGCCGAAGATGTTCTGGATGCAGGGCAGGTAGACACCAATGAGCGTGCCCATACGTGCAGGCGGTACTGGTTTAACATCCGGGTCGTCAGCTGTTGGGATTGTGTTTGAGTAGTTGGCCAGCGACGTAAGAAAAGTAGCCGCCCTGGGCCGATCTTCCAACTCGTCCTGTCGATTAATACTCAGGTTGTTATATATTTTCAATTTTTTTTTAATTTAAGTAACATAAATAATATAATCTTTTACGATCAGAAACTTCATATTACAAATATGGTATTAGCCTAAACCGATTGGAAAGTCGATATTTGGTCATGGAGGTTAAGTACATTATACATTATATACAATAACGTCCTGTCATGTCCCCATAAACGCAACAGAGGCAAATGAAAATATTAATAAATAATAACATATAAAGCTCAGTTATAAATATTTCAACCAAATCTCAAAATAATCAACTTAGTAAATAATGAAAGTTGTAGTATATATTTTGAGTAATTAATCTTTTGAGTTTTGATTTAAAAAATCTGCTCTTAACCATGACACTTATCTGCCAAGCTACATATTTTAATTAAGAAGTTAGGGCTTGTAGAGTCAGCGCGTGTAGAGTTAGAAGCTTGGCTATACATGAGGTCTGAAAACTTTTTGACAGTGTGAGGTCTATGGTCTCGTCTTGCTAACATTTTACAAAAAAACGTTTTTGGTGGGATTGCCTATTTCATTTTAATATTTTCCGGTCAAAGTAGGAATACTAAAATAATTGTTAATAAAAACCTCATTATAAATTATATTATATTATAAGGGCAAAAAGCGAGTCAGCTAGACTATACTAGCCAAGTATTCGGAACCAAATTTGTTTGAAATTAAATAAAGTATGAATGTATATACGAGTACATATATATTTAGTCTTAATGAATACTCAACGAGCTGAATCCTAAATAGGAAACGTATTTTTTGATCATCAAAAATTAACTGATATTATATTTTGCGTACTATGTTATGGTGAGAGCGAGTTAGCAACCAAATAAATATTATTCAAATGAATGTCGACACCGTGTATCAGTTTAACTCTAATTAAATATAAGCCTAAAGCACATTATTGTGTTCAATTCTACCTGTGTTTTAATTATAATCTAACAATAATTACGTACCTGGGTACGTAATTATTGTTAGATTAGAGAGCTGTCTTCATGAAGACCCGTCTGTTGCGGTAGACTTAGCTCTGACAAGAACACGAATATAATCAAAATAGTTTTAACATAATTCTGTGTATGTTCTTATGTGGTATTAAGAATAAGTTTTCAGTGATGTAGAAGCCAGAAAATCAGGAATGCACCTGATTATTTCCCAAGATTAAAAGCTTTAAAATATTTACTTCGTAAAATAAAATTATTCACTTTAACCTCAATGGTGAACAATGCGATATCTGACATTTAGTTTTTTTTTGCGTATTTCATTATAAAATGTAATTAATTGTAATTACAGTTAAAACTAAAAGTTTATTTTTAATTATTTTTTCAAATGTAAAGTGGTGATTGATTGTCGATTTACAACAAAACTAAATATCCGCATTGCTTGCAACTGATATTTTCCCGTAAATAAAGAATATTTTTCATCATTTTTTATCTAAGTCTTTGCAGTAAAATGAGTATATAAAGTACATAAAAGTTACTGGAATCGCTTTTATATTATTTACAACGCTATATTTTCCCACGAGCTATAGCGAGTAATTTAGTAAAGCCGTCATTAAAGTTGAATGTGCGCGGTGTTCGGACGAGATCAAATTCAAATTGTGATATATAGGCGGCACAGGAGTTTTTAATTTCGCGTGTGGAATACGATACATGAGCGTTGAGTACTGTGAGCCGAGAGCCGAGCCGCTGAAACAAGATCCAGTGAGTGTGAGAACGCTCGTTTTATTTATTATTATATCGACATGTGCTGTAACGATTTTATTGTTTTAAACGTGCAGATTATCGCTTGCGAGACTTGTGTCCTTAATGCAAATGTACATGAAGGCTAGGTGCTAATTTCTGTTTAATTTTTAAAGACAATTTACAAGTATATTTAAAATACATATCTAACACAGAAGTAAGTATTTCTTTGTTAAATATAAATATTTTATGATGTCATTTAAGCAAGTGACCTCATAATATATTGGTCGATTAGCGTCATTTGTCATCATTGACGGCTTCGATGATGCAGTGGTAGCGACTGCTTTGCTGAGGTCTCCTCTCCAATTTCCGGGTCGGACCAAATGATCTGCAAATATTTTTTCGGAGTTTGGGTTTTTTCCATGTATAATATGTATGGAAATGAATGAATGCTTAGTTTGAAACTAGATGGCGTTGTGTGTCAGATGTCTGAAAACATTATATTATTATATATATCGGAGCAACTACAAACCACCTCACTTAATAAAAATAATTTAATTGAATTAAATTAGTTTCCAACCGATTATTATTGAAGTTTTGTCAGTTAGTGTTAAGAAAGAACCTGAAGAATCAAAACACAACCAAAAAATACAACACTTAACCTAACAACAAGTAAACACGCGCGCGTCCTATAATAAACAAGATGCACTGCGCGTTCTAGGTCATTCTCGCTAGAGCCGTTGGGCTGTACGGATCTATGTACAGCTGTTGGTGAGACCTTGGAATACATAATTAATTGTTTTAACTGTTGTCTTTATTTACTACCGTATGGGTCTATGTAGGATTGTTGGTTAGACCTTGGAATACATCTTTAATAGTATTTACTGCTGTCTTTATTTATTATCGCGCGGATCTATGTACAACTGTAGGTAAGAACTTGGAATACATCCTTACTTGTATTTACTGTTGTTGTTATTTACTATAGCTTTTATAAAGGAAAACCACTACAGTGTAAAGAATGATGACAGCTTTTCTGACGTCACTCTTTCTAAAAACAACCCAGACACTGGTCTACCGTCATATATTATTATTATCATCCTAATCTATGCTCATATGCTCTATATCTTATTGTCCGTGTGGTGACGGATTAAGAATACACACCCCTATTCATCCTGTGGGTGTCGTAAGAGCCGACTAAGGGAGAAAATTATGCAGAACAACAGCACTGCAGCCGGCGTGGTATAGTTGGGCCAATACCCCCTTTCTAAGGAGGTCTTATGTCCAGCAGCGGACTATTAAAGGCTGTTGATAAATCTATGCTACATAAATTAAAGATTATCCCAAAGAATTTAACAATGAGTACAATAACTGCTTCACACTCCGGCCAGGTCATTTTTAAAACTCAGATCAGTGTACTTTTATTTCATTGCTTGATTCTACTACCAAAGTAAAGATGACGTTTATGTGTACTTTAGTGTTAACCTTTTATGCACTTAAAATACCTACTTATATGGAAAGTAATTCTAAATTTAACATCGTGACCATCAACAAACACGGAGAAACTGCAGGAAACGGCCAGTAAACTATGCAAAAATACAAATAACAGAACCAGACGATAAAGTTGTGTGGACATAACGTTTTAATATAATACAAAATACATTTAAAAGTTTTACCACGTTGCCGTATTACCGTTAACGGCAGCCAAGTTATAGTATGACTACTGAATAATATTTCTATCGTCACGAATTTCATTCAACAAAATTGCGAGTAACAACTTTGACAAGGCTTTGACTAGTATTTATTGTAGTTAGAGTTATTTTGAGAGACTTTCTATTCAGAATAACAGCCTTCCAAATTATTAATAGCACGAAGTCGTGTTATTTAGATCCCTTTCATTGAATTAGATTACAATTGAAAGTGGTTTACATAACGTCTACATTGTCCAAGTGACTTACAGAAGCAATGTATAGGTTCGTTTATGACTAACGATAACTACATACTATTTTCAATAAATTGGATAAAGAAACAAGTATAAAATTGGAAATACATTACAACACACCACATATGAACAACGCTTTTGGTGATCAAATGTCAGCCAGCAAATCTTTTCAAATACCCGTAATGGTCGTAAACGACGTGATTTAAATTATGTTCTACCATAAAATAAGGGCACACAACACAAGTAATTTATCACTAGAGCTGTTTCCTATTTGTTTTCATTTGTTCCGCCGACATTATTCGGCACTTTATTCGGTGTCCGGATGCCTCTCCGTTAAAATCGCAAACGTAATGAAGTTCTTTGTTCGTTTCGAGTGGGTTTTGACGTTTTACTAAGTCAGCTCAGCAGTGGAAGGAGCTCTCGACTTGTTATTAACGTTTACTGACAATGATACCGTCTCAGCTTCTGCTTTAATTACAGATTTATGTACTTTTTCAATTCAATTATTTGTTAACCAATGTTCGTTAAGCCGTGATAACTTATTAATGTTATTCTTCAGAGCAATACTGAACTAAAAAAGCTTATTTACGTCTTTATCAAGCTGAGACTGAGAAGCATACGTAGTAATTTAGTATAAATTCAAAGTCTATTATACTATTTTAAAGAAGAGTTCAATTTAGGAGACCCTTGCTTTGACACAAATGGGCCAGCTCAACTGGAGTGATACCACGGCCTCAAAGAAAATAGGAGTTGAGCAAATTTTTGCTTGATTTTTCACCTTGTATTATATATAATTTTGTAAGGGCTTGTTAGTAGCAGCAGTAATCATAGTAAATTGTTATTATAAAAAAGTCGTTAAGCTTTTTATGACTATCTTTGTTCAAAAATTTACGGAATCAGTTTTAGAATGCTTCGGAATACTTTTTTTACCGCCCCTGTGAGATTATCTAATCTCGCCAAACTGGGTCGGCAATAAATGTGTTGAAATTGTGCTTCAGATGAATTATTATTGTAAGTGTCGCACTCACAGTCAGTTCAAAATATATAAACATAGTATAAAATAAATGATGTAGTAATGTAGGAGTGAAACAAATATAGATAGATAGTTTACTCTTTCTTTATACACTATCGTTAGTGCTAACCACATCACACACTATACCATCACAATGCCAGTAATAGCTGGTTATGCTTTAAAAGCTATGTCAGAATTTTTGGGATAATTTTAGTTTGGTGAACACATTTCTACATACAAAGTATATTAGAAAATAAATAAAAATAATTTATTAGTAAATGCTAAGGCCAGGCAAGTAAACATAAATCATGGTAAATAAACTAGGGTTTATGTTTGCATTATCTGG